GTTCATATGCACATTTAGGCGGCTCATAAGTCCACTATCTTTGAAATATGACGAATGTGCGCATGCGTAGTATCTCGTGTAATCTCTGCTCTGCAGATGCTAATAGAATCCCAATCGAACTTCAACTTTAGGTAAGTCTCGTTGAATTTCCTAATTTTGTGTCAATATTAATGAATTTTATGTTGACATCAATTGAAATGCATCAAAGATAATTGTTTTTAGTTGATCATGCATAAGATTTTCAGCAAGAGAATTCAATAAGAAATAAAAAAATGTTGTTCCTCTTGCAGATAGTCATGTCAGAAAAATTAAAATCATTCCGTATAATGATATGCATAACTGAAATTCTGTGACGTGTCATTATTTTGACACATTTTGTTGATTTTTTAGAACAATATTTGAAATGAAGTATTTGAGTGTATTGCTAGCGATGATGCTGGAAAGTTTAGTGTTTTCCAACGTTAAATTATCTAAAATTTATTTGTGATTGTTTAAAAAAGTCCCATAAAAGGCACCAATTGTTAGTCATATCAAAAATGCCTTTCAACAAAGACAAAGATAGGACACAAAAATAGTGATCATGCAAATCTGTAGCAACTAATTGTTCCATAGATATCTAACGCAAAATTTGCAAAATATAAACATCTAGATAATAAACTTCATACTCTCTTTCGATGTAAAATTCTGGTCCTATATTGTATAAAATGTTGTACACGTTATGATAAAAGCCGGGGGGGGCTCAAGATTTTAGGGGCAATCTTCATTTAAGAAGGGAATATCAGAGTAATTAATCTCGAAGTCTTTAATTTGGAATAATTTTCTCACATCTCAGTAATCGAAAATTAATAGCGTTTGGACTTGACACTTCATCATGCAAAGTATTGTCATTTTGTGAACTTTTGAAGCAAACAAATATTTTAAATAGTCTATCTTACAACAAGTTGAACAATTATAGAACAGAAAAAAATCACATGTACTATCATGTGAAGAAATGAGCTTTTCACTCCAAGTAGGCGCAATTTCTAAAGACATACCTAGTAAAACGTTTTTATGTCATCATATGTGTTAGGAATACGATAAATAGATAGATGACTATATGAATGAGGAAAAAAATTTTTCTTGAGAAAATTCGTGTTAGATGAAATTAAAATTATTGCACATAATGATATGCATAACTGAAATTCTGTGACGTGTCATAACTTTGATTCATCTTGTTGACTTTTAGCCCTGCCGTAACAATGATATTTGAAAAGACTAGTGAGATTAATTGTTGGTGATAGTGCAAGAAAGGTCAGTATTTTGAAATGATAAATTATGCAATGTGTTACTGGGAAAATCACACCAAAGTCAACAAGTGTATCAATATAAAACATATGAAGTGCGAATTCCACCACGAAAATGACATTCAGGTTTTTTATGACAAATATAACAAAATTCTAGACATAAGAAAAAATAATGACACTATGATAGGTAAACTATTCAATCAACTTACCTTAACAAATTTCGAAAGATTAAAAACGACACAACCAACTACGTGATGTCTTTGCTTCTGCTTGATAATAAAGAAATTGGAATGTTCACTAAATGTTCAATTTTAATCACCTGCTGTTTTTATTGTAAAATATTGAATTCTGTTCATACCCAATAGAATATGAAATGCAAGCCAGCCTTTTACAAGAAAGATAGCTCAAAATTTAAAGATTTATGATTTAGTAAGTAAAAAATCATGGCGGCAATAAACAAAACTCCACGGCAATAAACAAAACTCCACGGCAATAAACAAAACTCCACGGCAATAAACAAAACTCCACGGCAATAAACAAACTCCACGGCAATAAACAAAACTCCACGGCAATAAACAAAACTCCACGGCAATAAACAAAACTCCACGGCAATAAACAAAACTCCACGGCAATAAACAAAACTCCACGGCAATAAACAAAACTCCACGGCAATAAACAAAACTCCACGGCAATAAACAAACTCCACGGTGGAAGTGAAATATACGAGACAATATACAATATGCCGCCCAACTATCAAATTTAAAATGGCGTCAAACGATTCAATTCGGTGGATTCAGAACTTTTTTATTTCATTTTTACCAATTTATTATAAAGTTCACTGATTCAGACTAGTTGCGCAAAGAATTCTCCCTTGAAAGACTTATCTTCTTTAATTTCTATAAAGTATTTAAGTATGAAGAAATTCGTATGTTTTTAAAAAAACTTCATGAAATACAGTATGTTAAGCATTTAGCATTTCTACAATTAAAAGGCTGTTTTGAGAGAAAAACGCGAAATATTGACTACAACTATGATGACCATGAGAGATAAATTTGGGAGTTCATTGACGCACTTGTTTGCTTAAAAAGATATTGTTCCGTTGGGCATAAACTTTAGTTAAACACAAGTGCACCCACATAAGTTCTTAATTATGCTGTGCAGTCAATTTTACTAGAAATTGACAAAGAAGGAACCTAGGGAAAAAAGGGTCATCGACTTAAAAGAAGAACTTGCTATAATCCGTCCTAACTACAACGTGATGGACACAAATAACGGATCTAGCGATGCATCTAGCACAACACATAGAATTGTTCTCATGTAATCGAGTACGCTATTTTGATAGGATACTATAACGGGCCCTGGCTGAAACTTAGCCCGGGCTGAAATTGCTTCATGTAATCGGTTCTTTACTTAGCTACAACTTTTGCCAGCCATTTTTATTGTTTTTTGTTACAATAACTGGAAGTGTTTTATTCGAAGATTTGTGCTAAGATTGATTAAACAATGTAGACTTACAATACAGTAATAACTAGGGGAACTAAAGCACATATATCAGCGAATAGGAAACAAAGTAAAAGGTTAAAAATGAACCAAGCAAGAAACTTCCTTTACATGAAGACAAATGTGCTGCTTTACAGCTTCCCTTTTCACTATTTGTTCGCATGTCTGCATTTTTCATTTAGTAACCGCCATGGCGAACAATTCTACCTATTAGTGGCCATTGCTTGCGCGAGCAACAATTACGAAGCGAAACTTAATTGAGAAAACATCTGGCCACAAGAGAGTCACAACAAGATGCTACACACATTATGTGTGTCCACCTAAAATTTCGTCAATCTCGAGTTCTTTAAAACAGACCGAATGGAGTAGTTATATTATGATGCATTTTACTACATATGGCCCTTAGAGGGTTAAGTACAAGTTTCGGTTAGTAAAAAATATACAACACTAACAGGGACCTGTTATGACTCACATCACAGCAGTTTTTCTCTAGAAATCCGCAGTCTGAAAATAGTGACATTTAAAACGGTAAGAATCTTATCCTGTGAGAATTGACGAACTTAGTAGCTATCATAAGAGCAACAAGAATCACTTTGGCAATATCGCCATTATATTTTTGAACGCTTTGTTAGTCATTTTATCAGACATCAGAAACGAAACAATTAAAAAAATTTTGTTCTTTGAACAAACGTCTCTACTTACATATGGCAAAATTCCTGTAAATCAGACGTACCTGTGTCGAGAGGAGTGAAGAACTTGTTCAAATCAGAAATTTTTCGATATACCGTAAAAAGTCTTGAGAAAAGTGATGCTATCTGTTTCAAAGTGATTGCTTTTAGAATTTGTGAAGCTCCTTATGATAGCAGACGTAGAGTCGCAGTCAAACACTGCAGGTTGCTAAGATAGAAGGAATGTTGATGAAATTGAACGAATCTTATTGGCTGGCAAATAATTAGTTATGCTACTAGCAACTGTTGCTACCATACAAGAAAAATCTTTAATTAAAAACAGTGGATTTCAGTAAATGGACAGCTGTTTTTACATTTGTAGTTCACCCATTTTATCTAAGCTCTCCGAAATTATGTAATGCTAAACACATTATGTGTGTCCTGTTAAATGTTTGTCAATCTTGAGTTTTTTAAAACAGACCGCATGGCGTAGTTATATTATGATGTATTTCACTACATATGGCCCTTAGAGGGTTAATTACAAGTTTCGGTTAGTAGAAAATATTTAACACTAACAGGGACCTGTTATGACTCACATCACAGCAGTTTTTCTCTAGAAATCCGCAGTCTGAAAATAGTGACATTTAAAACGGTACGAATCTTATACTGTGAGAATAGACGAACTTAGTAGCTATCATAAGAGCAACAATAATCACTTTGGCAATATCGCCATTATATTTTTGAACGCTTTGTTAGTCATTTTATCAGACATCAGAAACGAAACAATTAAAAAAATTTCTTCTTTGAACAAACGTCTCTATTAATATATGGCAAAATTCCTGTATATCAGACGTACCTGTGTCGAGAGGAGTGAAGAACTTGTTCAAATCAGAAATTTTTTGATATACCGTAAAAAGTCGTGAGAAAAGTGATGCTATCTGTTTCAAAGTGATTGCTTTTAGAATTTGTGAAGTTCCTTATGATGGCAGACGTAGAGTCGCAGTGAAACACTGCAGGTTGCTAAGATAGAAGGAATGTTGATAAAATTGAACGAATCTTATTGGTGGGCAATTAATTAGCTATGCTACTAGCAACTGTTGCTACTAAAATTTTTTAATTAAAAACAGTGGATTTCAGTAAATGGACAGCTGTTTTTACATTTGTAGTTCACTCATTTGGTCTAAACTCTCAGAAATTATTTCCTCTCATTTGTATTTAGCATTTCCTTGACATAAAGAATTAGCATATATTATAAAACATAAACAGTCTGCAAGCGAAGAATGTCAAGTCACGATAAAACTTTTACATACATAAATTATTCATAATGACAGGAGCACTACATGCGGTCGTTTCCATAAGAACTAGCTAATGCATGCTTGAAAATTCAACTAGCAATCTTATATTCTATAATAATAAAGTACGTTTTATCAAATGTCTCCAACTTATGCTATATTCGAGCATGTTTTATTTCAATTCTATATTTTGTGAAGTTTATTTGTTTAAGGTGTTTTAATGAAGATGTTAAACATTTATGTGCATGTATATATTGTACAAGACTTGTTAATTGCAAACTTTAGGTAGTTCCACTTCTTTTGTGGGCACGGTACGGCTTTTTAACCATGGCCGATTTAATGAAATATTGGGACTAAATTGCCTATTCTGTTTAGAGCTGAATTTCACACAACAAGGGAAAAATAGCTCGCTATGCAGCTAAATTGGTCCTCTTACCTGTGGCTGTCTCATCTACGTTTTGGAGGTAAAATTGGCAAAATAAACGGGGCCAAATTTGGCCACTCTTTAAAGGGCAAAACTAGGCTCCAAAATGGGCGGCAGTCCTGGGGTCAATATTATAAATATATATGTTTTACAACATGTTGTAACACAAGATCTTGTTTTTCTTTGGCTATGTACGACAATTTATTGGCAATGGTAAAATTATTTATCAATTTTAAGACCATGAACCACTATTTCGATTAAATTTTAATATGAAATGAGAATTTTTAATCTATGTTCATAAACTAACGCGTTTTTAGGGGATCATTGACGTAAAGTCGAATGTTGAATATTGCCTATTGGTCGTGACTTTTTTAGAACGTGTATCTACAAATACGATAAAAGTTTTCAGATATAATTTCTATGAGCTTTTACAAAGACCTTTTAGTTCGCAAAATATTATAGATCAGAATGTTCGTAATTTATAACACATCTCTATGGTACGCACCGACTGAAAAGAAAACTAAGAGATAGCAGATTCTAACAGTTTCAATAAGGGAGAAATTGAAGATAGTTTCTTGTGATTGTGTGCTGCTGCGAACAGCATTGGCTATTTATAAAAAAGCATCATTTTGTGACGTTTTCGAGAATCATAAAAAATGAAATAACTTTTTTTATATTTGCAAGTGTTAAACATTATGGACAACGATGTTAACGAGGAAGTTTTATTCTGAAAGACAAGAGAGGCTGTGAAACGTCATAATGAGGATAAAAGGAAAAAAAGGAAGACAAATATTTACAAAAGGAACTGGCGTTCAGAGGACATAACAAATCAAGCAAGGACAACTATAGAGAGTTTCCAAAGTCATATGGAAATTTATGTTTTGTCTTTGTCTTGAATGCCAGAAGTGACGTAAGAAACGGCTGTTGCACAGTTTGTGTTTTCACTGATGTATCACGTGATGTCCAGAATTATTTGATTGCCTAACTGTATTGATGAAGTTATAAAAATGTTCAATATCAGATTGATGAGGAAATCACAGAATTTCAGTTTTTTAATTATTTAATACGACGAAACTTTGCATAAATAAACCTTAGCATCAACAAAAGACATTTGCAAAGCTACAAAGATTATCTAAAGGCTGCAAAGTCTGGAACTATAAGATTTAAAAAGAAATCTTTTATAGGATACCTAACTTTAGGGTTTTAGCAATGAAGATATAGCTTCTCTCAGTGGTCTATTGTTTTTTTCTACCACTAGGAGGTTTGATTACAGTCTCAAGTTAACCTCAACTTTGAACTCAGTATTTTACTTCACAGTAACTTAGTAGAAACTTCTTTGCAACTTCCTAATCACAAAAACTGACTCCAGCATTTAGCATATATCGAATTTCACGATCCCTTCGCCTTTTTTATTCTGATATATGTGTAGACGGCGTCTTGTTCGTCACTCTTAACAACTCAACTTCTTTATTTTCATGTATACGTTGCGTTTGTTTTAAAAATTGCTTCATGTTTGTGTTGATTTTTGTTGCAATATATAAACATGACGAATTATTTCAGTGTTGCAGGACCGTCGACATTTCTGCACATGCACAGTTTTTTGTAAATTACTGCTTAAGTATTGTCGTTTACTAGAAATTTTGTTTTTATTACGATTATTTTGTGAACAGTTTTTTTTTAAATTCTTAGATTTTATAAACAAAACTCATATTTCATTACGGGGACATTTTTTTGGTCAACCACTGTAGATGTGTCGTATCACTATGTGTGAGAACACGTCAAAAATAACATCATTTCTTTCAAGCGTGGCCAAACAGAAGACATGATTGGTGATATAATCCTTTTGTCGGCAAATTACGTGTTTAATCTGTCTCTGTTTTAAGTGTCATCTCTAAAAATAGGGATGACATTGACCTTTTGCAATATTATAAATATAGCATGATTTGGAGGTTCTCATTTAGCAGACGTTGACACCTGACGAGCAGTCTGCCGAAATGCATAGTGTCTCTTTCTAGCTGTAAATAACGGTTCCTTTGAATTGTTGGGTTAGTGTTCTTGTTAAAACAGTTCTTTTAAGAACTATTACATTGTTATTATCACCATTCACCATGGTATTTGCTATTTTGAAATCCATCTTTATTCTTTAAGTTTGTTACCACGACAAAGTCTCTGTTTCATAATTAGTTAATCGGTCTAATTTTAACTAGAAAAGCCTCAAACGTGGCATAATTATATTAGAATTTCTGCTGTACACCACCATGTGGTCCAAAGGCTCTGTTTTTACAAATCAGAAATCAAAGATTTTCAGTATTTTTCTTTAATGCTATGAATTTGCATGTATCACCTTAGCGTTAACAGCTCGACGAAAGATAATTGCAACGTTACAAAACGACTAAATGTTTAAAATATCAATGATGGCATGAATGAGTCCATTTGCAATTTCAAACTCAATTCTCCTCCTGATTCATAAATGTCACGTCATACTATCACAAGCAGTGGCGTAGCTAGCGGTCTGGCTGTTGGGCCCAGCCCGACCAAATATTTTCCCAAAAATGAAAAATTTGTTTTCTTTAAAATTGGATTTGCGAAAATTTTAAATTCTGCGACTCTTTTTGGAATAATCCACAGTCTATTAGTGTAATATTTGTCAAATGCGTCGTTATTAGCAAAATTATTATATTTTTAAACGTTACTTAGCAACAATGACTTGTGCATTTCTAGTGCCAGGCATTACGCAGTTTAGTTGGGCTCTGAAAATTCAGCCCAGAGAACTCTACAACAACTGGAAAGCTAACTTGGACGTCATCTTTGAAGCCTGCATGAGCGCCGCCATTGAAGGTACGGAGGCGAAATACATCACTTCGAAATTGCAAGATTTTTTGCAAAAAACAGTGGTCTTCAAGCCAGCTTAATGTCTAAAAACCTTAAACAATGTTTGGACTTTAATATAAAACAAGTTTGAACGACATTTGTACATGTTTAAGCTTCTTTTTAGAAGGATGAAAGGCGAACTTTGTTTTGGCACGTGAAAACATGCCTTATAACTTGAATACAAAACTGACACCCCTCGTTTTTTTTCGTTAGAAGGATATAAAACACACTTGTCTATCCTTATAATATTGTTTGAATCTTTGAAAATGAAGCTGTCAGGGCAAAAAACGCTGTTTTTCGGTAATTTTTGTGTTTTCGAGCAAAACTAGCTCGCCCCAGTCCTTTTTGAAAGTTCAGAGCGTATACAAAAAAAAAAACACTTTGCAAAATATTTCAAAAAGTTAGCAAAAAAATATTTTGAGTTCGTTTTAAAAAAACTGTTACGCCATATTATTTTGTTATTATTAATTGCACCATTAAAGAGTCAAAAGGGTCAATACCCACTTATAAAAAAAGACAAAAACACAATTGACACTCCATATTCATAACTTTTGAAACACTTAAGTAAAAATTGTAATGTAACACAAGTATGAAAAAGATTATTAGTCTAACATTATAGAATCATCATATATTTTCACAAATATGACCAAACATTTTAAACACACATCCTAAAATTTAATATATTACATATACATTTATCATTATCTGTATTACAAGAAAAAACTAATTTTATATTCAATATGATATACTATAAAATTTTGATACATGATAAAGTTTTGCTTGCTTTATAATCATTTTTAAGCCCTGGTTCAAACCACTGAGGATGAGGGTTGCTTTTTGGCATTTATGTAGAGTAGGTTATATTAGCAATACTTGTCATACAATGTGGGCGCTGTGCTGTATACTTTGTGTTGATTTGTGTTATGAAATGTTATAGAAGAAACATATTGTACAAAAAGAATGATAGCACAACGCTATAACCAACAACTACTTTTTTCGTTTAGAAGGAAGAGGAGTGGAAGGTTAATTTCTCAAATGTTGTTAGATAAGGTCGTTATTGTTTGTAGTTGTTGGGTATAGCACTGTGCTATCATTCTTTTTGTTTAATAACATTCCAACTATTTAACCTTGTAAACATATTGTCGACAATGAACCTCATATTTTGTAAAAGCCAAATGAACATATAATACAATGTGGGCGCTGTGCTGTATACTTTGTGTTGATTTGTGTTATGAAATTTTATACAAGAAACATATTGTACTTATAGCGATTATTATGTCAAGGCTTTTGCCGCTGACCAGGAAGTTAATTGGCGCGTCCCGATCATCGCCCGTTATAGCAAACCCCGCTTTACTGGCTAAACCATCATAAACACAAAATGTAAACAACGACAAATCTTGTGTGTTTACGAAAAGAAATCAAGTTCATACAGCACACAACCAGCAGCTATGCGGCTCTTGGGAGAAGGGAATGTTAGCATGGATAGTCGCGATTATGAAACGGCTATTGAACATTACAAAAAATGTTTGAATTCTACCGACGAAAATAGCTTGAAAACGATTGCATATTTTGGCCTTGGTAATGCTTACACGCTCTCTGATGAAGGGAAGGAAGCAATAAACTGCTTTAATGATTGCTTAAATCTTTCTTCTGAACTGGAAATTAAATATTTTCAACATCAAATATACCTCGGGTTGGGGAGTATCCATTCTACCACTAAAAGATTAGAGGATGGTATAAAGAAAGAAGAAATGGTCTGTCTTTGTCATGTTGCATTGGGAGGATTGAATAAATTACTTGAAAATTATGAAAAATCCTTGGAGCATTATAGAAAAGGATTCTCTCTGATTGAAAATCAACATCTAGAAGCAGAAATGCAACATTTACAACTGGAGGAAAAGCAGCTAGGGAACCATGAAGAACATCTACAAGAACAAGAACAACATAAACAGTGTCATCGACCACAACGACAAAAAAAAGTTGGCGGTATTAACATTAGTAAAGATTTTGTCTACCATTACTTGAAGAACTTGTCTCTTGTTACCTCATTCGGAATCATGAATGGAGTGTTAGTTGTTTCTTGGGAATTAGCAGAATTGTTTGATAAACTTGAAAAATGGGGGGATGCAGTGTATATTTATGAAATATATCTGATGATAGTCACAGAAGATGAAGATATAGATAAAGAACAAAATGCTATTGAATGTCTAATACGAATATTCGAAGAAGAAGGGCGTGATTACTTTTTGGATTCAATGAAAGTGAGATTACGAGAGCTTGAAAAAAGAAAAAAGTGCAAAGGTACAGAATGAACATGAATTCAGCTTAAGACATAAAATTTTGTCCCTAATTCTTGTTTTCCCCAAGAATTATTTGATGTGGAAAATGCATTCATTTTTCAATGCAAATGCAAAATTTCAAAAGAATTACTTTTCAATTTTTTACAAAAAGCAGTTTTAATTGCTGTTGTTCCAATGAAAATTAAAGTATTTCCACAGCTTTAGTAAAAAGTTGACAGTGTGTGTCTGTATAAGAGATTTTAAAAGGATTAGCTGATCTATTTTTTTAATCTATAGTCCTGTTGTATTATATTCATTATATTTTTGTTGTCAACTATCCTCCACTCTTGCTAGAACTGTTTTTTTGAACAGGTGGTTTATTATGTAGTGGTTGCTTTTAGTTACTTTTAACAGATTGTACAGTCCCTATCCAATTTCTCATTGTAATAGTCTATCTTTAACTACTTTTATGTATTTTATTATTCCCATTCATTTCTAAATTTGATTTTTTTCCTTCAATTTTAGAATTGCAACTACAAGAATGGAAATATAATGATCCGTCAACAAAACACAAAGAATGCTTGTTAAAAATGATTGAGTATAGGCATAATCCTAATGTAAAAGTTGAACTTTTAAACAATGTTCTAGTAATTTTCTCAGATGAATTTTGCATTGGCAGAGGATGTGATGGAACCCGTGTTTATCTTGGACTGAGCAAGGATGGTTATGGAAAAGCAGTAAAACGAGTTCGTCGAGATAACTGTACCAAAGAAGCAGAGAACGAAATGAAAATTTTAAATGAAATCAAAGCTAAGAAGTCGAGTTATGTTGTGAATTATTACCACTTAGAAGAAGATACCGGACCTGAATATGTCTATTTGATACTTGACCTATGTGAAGAATCGCTGGAGGGTTTTGTAAAATCTTCCACTTTGGAGGATCTTCAAAAATCTCTTCCCGAAATTCTCAATCAAATTTTAAAAGGATTAGCTGATCTTCATAGCGAACCAAATCCTATTCTTCATCGTGATTTAAAACCATCTAATCTTCTTCGAGATGCACAAGAACAATATCTGATAGCTGACTTTGGTATTAGTCGAATGTTGAAAAATGGAGGTAAGACACATAAAAGCGATGTTACTAAGGGAACTCAATATTGGATGGCTCCTGAATCGTATGTTGTTAAAGAAGAGTCAGTTGACAAAGCACGATACAAACCAGAGTCTGATGTAATGGTGTGTGTAAAAATATAACCATTTGCAAATTACTTCCAAATTTTTTAGAAATGTTTTGTTGACACTGTTATGCTTTTATATATTTTAGAATGCAGGAATGGTTGCTTATTATGTTGCAACAAAAGGGAAACATCGTTTTGGACCTCGAGAGTATAGACTGAAAAACTTGTTAGATGGATACCCTGTTGGATTGGAAGAAATTGGTGACTTTAAACTTAGAGATCTTCTTTCATGGATGCTGCAACATACACCCGAACTCAGACCATCTGCCAAAAAAGCATTAAAACATCCATATCTGCAATCTGCTGAAGAGAACTTTGATATGTTGTGTGATGTGGTGAATCAACTGGAGATAGAGATAAGTGATCCTCTCCACTCAGATGTCCATAAGCAGTTAAATGATCCAGAAAATTGGATGGACCGTATCAACGGAGAAATTTTTAACAATTTCAATGACTTTGACCCTACATTGTTAGGCTGCTTAAAATTTTTACGAAACGTTCGCGAGCATTGGCAAAATGAACCTCACCCACAACTGCCGCCAAGTGAAAGCAACTATAAAAAGTATTTCCTGCAAGTTTTTCCAGAGCTTCCACTTCTGGTGCACAGAATCATAAGGTATATCGAAAGGAAATCCACTCCAGATCTGGGAGAACAATTTGCTAGTAAGTTAACTATTAAATTATTTCTTTTTCGTCAATGATGTAGCTAATCAATCTCAAAAATCTCTAAGTGTAAAAATGCAACCTAGTCAGTCAGTTTATACAGTCGATTATACAGTCGAAGTGTAAATTTTCTGCTATTTATTTGTCGCGATATGTTTGTTTATCTGTGCATCAAAGTTTGTCATGAACAAGCTAATCATTTTAACAATTTATCGCCGGCATCCCCTTTGACGGTATAAAATGGTTAAAATGCAAATATATTTTTAACATATACTAATATTGATATGGAGATAAACAAGGAGTAAGTGTTTGCAGTGACGGCGAAGCAACATTATGAAGTGTGGGGCTAAGCCTTCAATTCTACTATGGCGTCTTAAAATACCCCTCTAAACAACGACTTCAGCTCAGTCTAAATATATTTTTTGCAAAAAGTGGGGGCTTCAGCTCTCCCAGCCTGTATTTTAACTGTAAGGATTTTTACAGTTAGACAAAGTATGACCCTCACACTACAAAAAGTATTTATCTTGTTGATAAAGTTTTGAATGTTCCAATATCAGCAATGTACATAGCAATAGATAATGAACATTTCCTAAGAAATTTGTCTCCACAGGGGCAATACTTCCTAGTAAGTATGGTCCCACTTCGGAAATTTGGCCCCCCTTACAAACTTTAATATCTTATTCAAAAATGTTGCAATTTTTTTCAAAGCCAAGATCACAGACGATCTAACATAATACAAGTTATGTAGATCTATACATGACTCATTATATTTTATTGCTTATGTTCTCTAACGGTTCAATCAAAATTAGTATTTTACGAGTTTTTTGTCTCTGTATTGACGTATCATATGTAAATGAAAAAACAACTTTTATTCTTTATATTTCAGGAGAAATCAATCGAGGTTAGTAGCTATGCTCATGCAATAAAGTAAGGACGAATATTTTTATAGATATCACGATAACAAACGGAATATATTAAGATAAATTTTCTTCCCTCAACAAAACGTAAGTTAGTTTGAAATATTCATATGATTCTATCCTTCTTGGTTCTTATGTTTTTAGTACATGGATATTTATGGTTGTTTAAGGCAGTCTATATCCAATGAAATATAAAAGGTTTAAGGGGGAGTGTTCGACGTTGTGGGACCAACTTTATTTAGCGACTTTAATTAGCGGCTGACGCCAAAAAAAATGGAGGATTTGTTCCATTGCCGCTGAGATTTACCGACATTGACTGCTTTTCCAAAAATCTCACAATTTTTCTCTCCCCTCTTGAGAGAGAGTGAGGAAAAAGTATGTGTTTTTCGCATATTTGGCAAGCAATTTTATGACGAAAATCACTGTAAAAACATAAATTTCATAAAAGAGAGTCTACTGTGGTTGCCAGTTGTCAGCTTCTACGACGGATGCCTTTTTTAACTATTGACGAACGAGCTATATGTTGGCCACATATGAATGCAGATGTGCGCGTCGTAACTGTCGTTTAATGATTTGCTCGATCAAAGTTTGTAGTCTGCACGAAACAAATTGTATCAAATTTTATCAGTTTTAAATTTTATCAAATAAAGAGTTTATGTGTTTTACGCTACCTTTCATTTGTTTTAGAGTCAAGTTCATTTTCGTATACCTGTCTTGAAGAACCAAGAAGCAGTGCATCAACATTCAAAGGTATGTCTAATGTAGTGGGATTTTTTATTATTGAGAAAATCAATCAACAAACGTTGACTCGTAAACAAACAACCATTTACAGCTCCCAAAAATCTGTTAAAAAGTTAAATAGCCAGAAGGGAACTTTCTTTTTGTGTGATGTTTAACCAAATAAAAGCTTACATTTGTTGCAATACTTTTTAATAATATTATCATTCTTAAATGTTTCGTATTTACATTGCTTCAGCTTCTGAAGAAAAGAAATCTTTGCTATATCTTCTAAATGATAATGACAGTTATGCTGATATTGGTATAACGTCTTCTACATCAGGACCTACTAAGTATTGGAATTTTATATGCAAATATTTACACAAACGTAAACTGTATTGACTTTTGAAATGTTAAGTACAAACAAGAATGCAATGTAACCATTGAGATTCGTTTATATCTTCCTTATTCACATACTTTTGTTAACGGTCAAAAATGTGAGATGTAATGAAGAGTGAAATAACTCGGCAAGTATTCCTTTTATCTTGCTCTGATGTATTAACTGTATAATGTAATACATTAATTTCCAGCTTCTTACGAAAAGATATCTTTGCCATCTCCCATGAGTGACAACGACTATGACGACATTGACAAAACTACTTCTACAGCAGTACTTCGTAAGAAATTGTATTTTGTTAGCAAACATTTGCACAAACATCTTTACATTCCCTTTAAAAGTCAAACACAAACAATTAAGAGTCGTTATATCATGCGTATTATTTATACGTTTGTAAAGGGTCAGATGAGAGAGTTTTAGAATTTGTCATCATGCTGTAATGTTATTTAATTGCATTGCAAAATATTAATTTGATTTATCTATTAGATGATAATAACAGTGACGTCATCATTGGTGTTTCGCTTTCCACATCAAAACCTGCTAAGCAAAAGAATTTTGTTAACAAACACTTGCCCAAACATTTCCATGTTTTTCAACGTTAAATACAAACAATAATTTATAACCTAATAAATTAATTTTAAAAGGCATCGTTATACGTAGCCAACTAAAATCTTTTCATTTAAAAATAATGCAAATGTTGTGGATCAAAATCATGTAAAAATTTTTAACTTTATAAACATAGAAATTTAATCAATATGTATAGAAAGTGAAAACCGTCATGATCAACGTGTCAGTTACATGTATACGTTACACGTACAAAAATGAACTTAAATAGATTATTGTTGAAAAAATCCTTTTAAAACATATTATTTGATTATTGATAGTCAATAAAAGCCAATAATTATGTTTACGAATATATAGTTTCACTTAGCGTTTAGGTGGTTTCCTTTAACTTTTTTTTGTGACAAATAACTGTTTCAAGAGATATTTATGATGTGTTATGAAAAAATAAATTATTAGTTTTACGAAAAAACTTGCAATAAAACCCACGTTGTCGTTTTTCCACCCAAAAGATTAGAAACCACAAAGTAAGGTAGTTCAACTCACTGGTTCAACTCCCTCTTTGCAAACACACGGTATTAGCATAACCATGCATGTAATATTTGCAAGATCGAATAACATACAATAAATGGTTACGTAGATGCAACTTCTAAATAAATTATGGCTCGCTGAAAGGTTTGAGGGGGAGCGTTCTACGTCATGGGACCAACTTTATTGTGTCTTTATTGGATCAAATATCCCAAAATTTTAGTCGGACCGACATTTTTTTAGTCTTTTATGTGTTTGTGGACCGACATTTGATTCATATTTTACAAAAGCTGGGTAGTGTAACATGTGATATACACGTTTTTTTTCTTTATCATGTGTTTAGATGCAAATGGTAATTTGGATGAACACTTTTGGATGAACACAAGCTTTTCAGAAGGTAACCATAAAACATTACGTTCTTTAATTCTCCGAACTCTTTTCACCTCGACAGATGCTTTCATCTTTGATTTTTCAATCTCAATGTTTCCGCATTTAAAGTGAAAAGATCCTGACGTCTCTCAACGTCCTTTGAACTAAATATCCCTCATCCGTGTGTTTGGGAGCAGGGAAATACGCTGTTAATACAAATAAACTCAAAACAAGGCAAACATGCTGTTATGTTATTATATTATTATTTAGTAGCTAAATATAAAAGTCAGTTCACCTTAACTGCCAAAGCGGTGTAGGTATTTTATATCTTGTCTAATAGCCACATTTTCTTAATGTGCGTATAATTAGAAAATTAAATTGCTTCTTGATAAATTCAATTATTCCTTTCTAAATAATCTACTTTACTTTATAATTGAAGAATTGCTGTCTCAACCATGGAAATGTTATGATAAATCAATAATGCACCAGCAAAAGTTCAGAATGATGGAAGAATATAGGCAGGAAAATCCAAGAAAAGTTAAACTTGTAAATGGTGTAAAGGTTATTTGTTCTGAAGAGTTTTTGCTTGGTAAAGGAAGTGATGGAACTCGTGTTTACCTTGGACTCGGAAAAGATGGTTACGGAAAAGCAGTAAAACGATTGCTTCGAGATAACTGTGCGGAGTTAGCCAAACGAAAAAAAGATATTTTGAATGAGTTGAATGCCAAGCGTTCAAATTATGTTGTGAATTATTGGTATCTTGAAGAACAACCAGGCACAGATTATTTGTATTTGATATTAGATTTGTGTGAAGAATCGTTAGAAAGTTTTGTTAAATCTTCTACTTTGCAAGATCTTCAAAAAGCACTTCCTACAATTCTTAAGCAGATTTTAAAAGGTTTAGCTGATCTTCACAGTGGTCCGTGTCCTATTCTTCACAGGAATTTAAAACCCTCGAACGTTCTTCGAGATGTGGATGGAAATTTTTTAATCGCTGACTTTGGTACAAGTCATATGTTATCTGATGAAACTTCGACACATCGGAGCATACAAAGAGGAGCTAAATATTGGATAGCTCCAGAGTCATATGACAAATCAAATGCATCAATTGATAAAGTTCGTTACAAAAAAGAGTCTGACATTATGGTAAGTTCTTGAAGTAGAACTAGAGGTCCAACTACAGGTCAATGTTGTGTTTGCATTTGAATGTTGTATTTGGTAGGGATATCATTATCATTGCCACTGATATCATTATCACTTTTAAATAAAATTTTTGTTTACCTCCATTGTACAGTCATATAGTAGCGAAATACAAATTGTACTGTATAAAATATAAAAATATGTATATGTATGATAGTAAATTTATTGTTGTAATTGCCTTATTGGTTTTACGATTGTATGTCTCTCATTTAGATTGCTCTAAAAAATTTATGGCTACAATTTATAATTGGAGAAAATTATTCTGATTTTTCTCGAACTGAACTTGTATTTTTTGCAACTAACAAATAAATTAACTCCATTTTTTATTGAAAATAGAATGCCGGAATGGTGGCTTATTATGTTGCAACAAAGGGGAAACATCCTTTTGGAATTGAACGGCATAGACTGGACAACATTTTGAAAGGAAACCCAGTTGGCTTGAACGAAATCAAGGATGCCACGTTCAAAGACCTTTTAACGTGGATGCTACAGTTAATACCTGAAGACAGGCCATCTGCCAATGAGGCGTTAAAACACCCTTATCTACAAACCGATTAGGAGAATTTTGATTTGCTGTGTGATGTTGGGAATGAACCAGAAATAAAGAAATCATCTCCACATTCTCTTCCCTCAAATCTTCATGAGCAGTTGAATCTTTCAGTAGGTTGGATGGACCGTATCGATCCTGAATTCTTTAATCATTTCAATAAAGTATCCGACTCTACATGGTTAGGTTGCCTAAGATTTTTACGAAACGTTCGCCAGCGTTGGCATGATAAACCTCGTCCACAACTGTCATCATGTGTTAAAGATGGAAACTATCAAGAGTATTTTCTTCGACTTTTTATGGAACTGCCTCTTCTAGTTCACGGAACCATAGGATTGAGTGACTGGAAGTTAACACCTGTTCTAAAGGAACATTTTGCAGATAAGACACAGAAATGAATTTCCATTTTCGATAGCCAAGCTATAAATTAGGGGTCAATGACAATATATTTGTTATTTTCACTCTAGTTCTCCTCTTCATTTATTGTACCTAATGCATGTATGTTTTGAATTCTGTATATTGCCGTTGCAAACATTTTTCAGACAGTGCACATCCTGTAAAATTTGAAGAAGGCAAAGGAAAGAAAAGCGAAGCTGTTATTGATTACCTTGATCTTAACGGTAAATAGCCATGTAACAACAAAATAATGCTTTAACACTTTTCTTAAATATTCTACCAAAAACCGTAATCTCTCCTCTTGTATCTGGTGAATCATTTTCTAACTTTGTGCAACTGAAAATAACGGTTAAAACAAAGCAAAGAAAAGATTTTACGTTTTTATTAGTTGACTAAGTTGAGGGAAGCTTAGTACTTTCCCCGTGTTTCAAATAAATTCATTAAACTACGGTGAAGTAAACATATTGAAAATGGCTCTTGAAAATACGGTCGAATTATCCGAGAAATACGAAGCAGTTATGGTTCTCAGTGGAGTGGGGGATGCTCTAGGTTATAAGAATGGTTTGTGGGAATTCTGTTACAGTGGTACTCAAATTCATGAAGAACTAGAAAAACTCGGAGGACTTGATAAAATTGACATTAAAGGATGGAGGGTTAGTGACGACACTGTACTACACATTGCTACAGCAGAAGCGTTGGTTTCGGAATGGACAACAACGGAAGAATTATTGAGCATTATGGCTACAAAGTACAAGAAGAAATGTGCTGAGGATATGTGGGAAAGAGCTCCTGGGCAGACCACAACAAAAGCATGTTTCATGTTACGACCTTTTGAGGAAAAAGGTTACATTATACCATTTAATGAACGAGGTGGCGGATGTGGTGCAGCTATGAGATCCATGTGTATAGGTTTGAAGTTTCCTTGTGAAGATCAAATTGAAATGTTAATTGAAAGTGAAAGGATGACTCATAATCACCCCACAGGTATTCACCTTTCATAATAAAGCAACGATTTCAGATCACGTATCAATTATCAAGTCACTAATGTCTAGTGTTTTGTCTATCAACAAGTGTTGCTTTGTATAAAGTTTGCAAGGTTTTCCTGTTATCTGCATTGCTTTTCATTTTAACAAACCTTATAGTAATTTAGCTTTTCAATCCTTTTGCTTTTCTTAGATGTTTTATCTTCAACTCTTCCTTCGATTACTTCCTTGATCAAGCCATTACCGTGAATGTTTCATATCCTTTTATATAATATCAATTTATCAATGAAATAAAAGATGGTTCACCTTAGGTTTGCATATGTCTATGCAATCCATTATTTTCTAGAACCACATCTCAAATGCCTCCATCCTTCTAACATTGCTCACTTTAAATGACCATATCTTTCATCCATCCCTTTTATTGCTTTTCCACACTTCCAAATTTCTGTCTTCTAAAAACTGTTTGAATTGCCATTGCTGTTTTGCTTTAATGTCTTCAATACTACATCCATTCAATCCATGATCCATATCAAAATGCTGCTATTATGTAAATATGGTCATCATAATGTTAGTGACCTAAAATTAGCAATCTTTAAAGATAATGATTTTAATTATAGGTTATCTAGGGGCTGTTACTGCAGCTTTATTTACAGCCTATGCTATACAAAAGATGGCTCATAAAAAATGGGGAGCAGGACTTTTAAGCGTTTTACCCAAAGATTGGGAATACATTGAGAAGGTTGGTCGTGATGTAGAAGAAAACAAGAAATCTTGGGAAAAAATAGTTGGGAGTCATATCTTGAACTACGGGGATTAACAAATGGAACCCGCGAACCAAAGTTTCCAGTAACATATAACATACCTGAACGTGACGCTTTTTATAAATCTGTCAGTTTTGCAGGTTGGAGTGGGTCCAGTGGTCATGATGCACTAATGATTGCTTACAATGCTTTGATGATGGCAAAAGATTCCTGGTTTCAATTGTGTTCTTGTTCTATGTTTCATGGTGGAGATAGTGACAGTACAGGAATATTGGCTGCTGCATGGTGGGGTGGTATGTATGGTATGAAAGGTGTACCCCCTTGGAAATTATAGGAACCTGGAATATGGTCATAGGCTTATGGAGCTGGGTAAAAAATTATTGAATGTATCAAAAAATATGAACTACTAACAGGATAGTATTTATTTAACAAAATTCTGTCATCCCAATATACTTTAGTATGTTTGTAAATCATACAATAAAAATTACTACTTGGTTATAACATAAAAGCAAATTACTTTAGAAATAAAGTCTAAAGAAGAATGTCAGATTCAGGGCATGGGCAGTTCTAAGTTCTACTTAGGATGATTCCTGGGCTGTAGAGTAAGTTTATTGACTAGATATCAGTGAAACTATATATAAACAAAGATCATTACATCTTTAGGTTCATTTTACCTCACAAAATGCAAATTGCAAACGTTTTATTCACTACCAAAAATACCTTCTGAGGGAGAGCGGTGCTGACTTGGCAGGAGGAAGCCTTGCATTGCTCGTACGGTCTGTGTGTTGAAAATAGGCTTAACATAATTTAGAAGGCACAATTATCTTTAATACACGTAGCTACCAAAGTGTAACTGTAAAGCTTTGTCATATTTCCGAGTTTCATGATACAACACACCTAGATTTTTTAAAAGACTTAACAACATCAACCTGACTAGTTCCTAACGATTGTTTTTGAATCTCCAGAACTTTTTCATGAAACTCTATAGCCTTGTCGTAGTTTCCAGTATCACTATACAAATTTCCAAGATTGTTTAAAGACGTAGCGACATCAACATGATTTGGACCTAACGATTGTTTTTGAATTTCCAGAGCTTTTTTGTAAAATACTATAGCTTTGTCGTAGTTTTCAGTTTTTTTAAACAATAAACCAAGATTGTTTAAAGACGCAGCGACATCAACATGATTTGGACCTAACGATTCTATTTGAATTTCCAGAGCTTTTTCATAAAGCTCTACGGCTTTGTCGTAGTTTCCAGTTTCATGTAATACCGTACCAAGATTGTCTAAAGACGCAGTGACAGCAACATGATTTGGACCTAACGATTGTTTTCTAATTTCCAGAGCTTTTTCATGAAATTCTAAAGCTTTGTCGTAGTTTCCAGTATCATTATACACACAACCAAGATTGTTTAAAGACGCAGCAACATCAACATGATTTGGACCTAACGATTGTTTTCGAATTTCCAGAGCTTTTTCATGAAATTCTATAGCTTTGTCGTAATTTCCAGTTTCATGTAACACCGTACCAAGGTTGTTTAAAGACGCGGCGACAGCAACATGATTAGGACCTAACGATTGTTTTTGAATTTCCAGAGCTTTTTCATGAAATTCTATAGCTTTGGTGTTGTTTCCAGTATCACTATACACATTACCAAGATTGTTTAAAGACCTAGCGACATCAACATGATTTGGACCTAACGATTGTTTTAATTTCCAGAGCTTTTCATGAAATTCTATAGCTTTGTCGTAGTTTCCAGTTTCATGTAACACATACCAAGATTGTTTAAAGACGCAGCGACATCAACATGATTTGGACCTAACGATTGTTTTTAATTTCCAGAGCTTTTCGTAAAACTCTATAGCTTTGTCGTAGTTTCCAGTTTCATTATACACATTACCAAGATTGTTTAAAGACCTAGCGACATCAACATGATTTGGACCTAACGATTGTTTTTTAATTTCCAGAGCTTTTTCATGAAATTCTATAGCTTTGTCGTAGTTTCCAGTTTCATGCAACACCGTACCAAGATTGTTTAAAGACGCAGCGACAGCAACATGATTTGGACCTAACGATTGTTTTCGAATTTCCAGAGCTTTTTCGTAAAACTCTATCGCTTTGTCGTAGTTTCCAGTATCATTATACACATTACCAAGATTGTTTAAAGACCTAGCGACATCAACATGATTTGGACCTAACGATTGTTTTTGAATTTCCAGAGCTTTTTCATGAAATTCTATAGCTTTGTCGTAGTTTCCAGTTTCATGTAACACCGTACCAAGATTGTTTAAAGACGCAGCGACATCAACATGATTTGGACCTAACGATTGTTTTCTAATTTCCAGAGCTTTTTCATGAAATTCTATAGCTTTGTCGTAGTTTCCAGTTTCATGTAACACCGTACCAAGATTGTTTAAAGACGCAGCGACATCAACATGATTGGGACCTAATAATTGTTTTCGAATTTCCAGAGCTTTTTCGTGATGATTTTTAGCTTTGCTATACTTCCCGGTAACACAGTATAAAAGACCAAGGATATTAAAATACCAAGCTTTGTCATAACTAGATTCTTCTGATGTAAATTTATCCAATAGTTCAAAAGCAAGATGGTATTTTCCAAAATGTCTTAATTTGTCAACAAAATATTGGAAAATTTGTAAAGTGTTCATGCTGATTTTTGTCTTGTTGGTTTTTAATAATTGAACAATTTTTTTAAGATGTGGCATTAATTTGATTTCGTCGTCTCTCTCTTTAAACATGTAAAGTGCTTTAGATATTTTATCAACGTTAGTTTCCATTTCATGTTCTTCATTTGAATGTTCAGATTGATAAACAATAATTGCTTTGTGAACAATGCAATGTAGACTAATGTCATTATTTTCTGAATGCAAGAGCAATGAGCAGTCCTTTAAACAAAGACATATATCTTCCTTTGAGTGTTTGGGATCTATTTTTTGAACATAACAAATAATAATGTCTCGTGGTATAGGATCAAACGATATCACGGAAAAAAAGTTAATAACATTTGCCAATATTGAGGATTCTTCAGCCTTTTGTCTGACAGCTAAAAGTGAAGCTTGTAACATACTTCTACGATATACCGAGTTAAATTTAATAAAAGTGGCGTCCATCTTTTCTTGTTCTTCTGAAGATATTTTCTTTAAATATTGTTTCCAAGTAAATGAGCAGTTTGCTTTGTTTACACGACTGACATAGCAACCAGCGGCAGCCAAAGCCAGAGGTTGACGACCTAATACGTGCGATACTTCATTCAACAATTGATCATCAGTATTATCATCTTTAGTGTAATATTCCAACAGTTGACAACATTCTTTATCATTCATTCCACTTCTGATAGAAATATGTTTGTTAAACTCATCGTCTTGAGGTACGGCATCTGTGTTCTGGATAGTTACTATGATTTGTCCATTTATCCACATGGGATCACCAACTTGGGGGAGTAATGAAAAAATTTTGCTAAGCTGTGCCACGTTGTCTACAATGATCAACCAATTTTGCCAGAATTTTAATCGTGTGGATACTAACGATCGCAAATTCTTCACTTTGTCTGCGATGGAACAATTTTCATCTTCAAATTTTTTAATCATATCCTTGTCACAGTTTAAACGGTATCCAAGTTCACAGTAAGTTTTTAATAGAGATTCCTCATTTTTTCCATCGAGGGTCATTACAAATGAAGTTCTATTTTTCCAATCACACGATATTTTTTCACAAACCTGTCTTGCAAGTTGTGATTTACCACTGCCAGGATTACCAGTGATGTAGAAGTATGTCAGTTGATCATTGTTATCATTTCTTAATTTTTCAAGATCTTTTATAATTTTATTTCGTAATTCAGTGCGTTCAACAAAAAAATGATTAGATTTTGAAGGAAGAACTTGGAACGAATTAAAACAGTTTCGATGATTTTTTATTTCAATGATTTCATCAAGAGAAAATTTTAAATCTTGAAATGATTTTTCAATGATGTTGACTATATCATCAAAATCATCATCTGAGCATTCCCTTTCATACCAATGTGCGTACTTGTTTCTTTCAAACGAAGTGCATGAACAGCATCCTTTGTTTTTTTGTCAAGGTGCTTTCCAATTGAATATGAAAAAATTATTGCATCAAATAATATCGTACAGTCCCACTTACAGGTTTGTCCATCTTGATATTTTTGTCGAGTTTTTTGGTCTAACTTTCTTCTTGATTCTAAATTGTAAAATTTGTTACCACTGTTGTGTGTATCATCCCATTCTCCATGTGTTGATTTGTAATGAGAGTTCCATTGTTTAATGAAAAACTTAGCAAGTTCCTTTTGTACCACGTTAATTATTTGCTGAATGTAAGACAGATTTCTTATTCCTGACGATTCCATCTGTACAAAAATTTGTTATACATCAACAAGATAAAAATCAAGCAAATAAAAAAATATTATACAACCCTCATTAGGTTCCATTGATTTAACTTCACCAAAAATTGTCTTAAAATTACAAAAGAACCTAAAAACTAATAATTACAGAGAGCATGTATGCTACAGCTTTTACCAACTGCAGTATCCTGTCAAACAACCTTTAGAAAAATTAAAAAAACATGATATTTTACCTTAAAGTTTACGTTACAAAACAGACATAAGAATATATTCTTCAGTAATTTGCATAGTCATTTGTTAATGTCATGCCTCTGTATCTAAGAATATGTTATAATGTTGTAGCTAATGGTCTTTTTCAAATTTACTAAGGTTTATGTTTATTTAGTTTCATTGACTCTAACGCATTAATTGAAACTTGATTTTATAAATATATATGTTTTACAACATGTTGTAACACAAGATCTTGTTTTTCTTTGGCTATGTACGACAATTGTTTGGCAATGGTAAAATTCTTTATCAATTTTAAGAACATGAAACACTATTTTGATTAAATTTTAATATGAAATGAGAATTTTTAATCTATGTTGATAAACTAGCGCGTTTTGAGGGGATCATTAACGTAAACTCGAAAGTTGAATATTGCCTATTGGTCGTGACTTTTTTAGAACGTGTATCTACAAATACGATAAAAGTTTCCAGATATAATTTCTATGAGCTTTTACAAAGACCTTTTAGTTCGCAAAATATTATAGATCAGAATGTTCGTAATTTATAACACATCTCTATGGTACGCACCGACTGAAAATAAAACTAAGAGATAGCAGATTCTAACAGTTTCAATAAGGGAGAAATTAAAGATAGTTTCTTGTGATTGTGTGCTGCTGCGAACAGCATTGGCTATGTATTAAAAAGCATCATTTTGCGACGTTTTCGAGAATCATAAAAAAATGAAATAACTTTTTTCATAGTTGCAAGTGCTAAAATTTATGGACAACGATGTTAACGAGGAAGTGTTATTCTGAAAAACAAGAAGAGAGGCTGTGTAACGTCATAAAGAGGATAAAAGGAAAAAAAGAAAGACAAATATTTACAAAAGGAGCTGGCATTCAGAGGACATAACAAATCAAGCTTTAGTTTGAATAAGGCAACTATAGGGAGTTTCCAAAGTCATATGGAAATTTATGTTTTGCCTTAGTCTTGAATGCCAGAAGTGACGTAAGAAACGACTGTTGCACAGTTTGTGTTTTCACTGGTGTATCACGTGATGTCCAGAATTATTTGATTGCCTAACTTTATTGATGAAGTTATAAAAATGTTCAATATCAGATTGATGAGGAAATCACAGAATTTCAGTTTTTTCATTATTTAATACGACGAAACTTTGCATAAATAAACCTTACCATCGACAAAAGACATTTGAAAAGCTACAAAGATTATCTAAAGGCTGCATTTGAAGTCTGGAACTATAAGATTTAAAAAGAAATCTTTCATAGGGTACCTAACTTTAAGGTTTTAGCAATGAAGATATTCCTTCTCTCAGTGGTCTGTTGTTTTTTTCTACCACTAGGAGGTGTGATTACAATCTCAAGTTAACCTCAACTTTGAACTCAGTATTTTACTTCACAGTAACTTCTTTGCAACTTCCTAATCACAAACACTGACTCCAGCATTTAGCATATATCGAATTTCACGATCCCTTCGCCTTTTTTATTCTGATATATCTGTAGACAGCGTCTTGTTCGTCACTCTTAACAACTCAAGTTCTTTATTTTCATGTATACGTTGCGTTGGTTTTAAAAATTGCTTCATGTTTGTGTTGATTTTTGTTGCAATATATAAACATGACGAATTATTTCAGTGTTGCAGGACCGTCGACATTTCTGCACATGCACATTTTTTTGTAAATTACTGCTTAAGTATTGTCGTTTACTAGAAATGTTGTTTTTATTACGATTATTTCTTAACAGTTTTTTAAATTCATGAATTTTATAAACAAAACTCATATTTCATTACGGGCACATTTTTTTTTGTCAACCACTGTAGATGTGGCGTATCACTATGTGTGACAACACGTCAAAAATAACATCATTTCTTTCAAGCGTTGCCAAACAGAAGAAATGATTGGTGATATAATAACCAAAAGACTCTCAAAAGTTTAATATCAAAACTTTACAAAGCTATTGGGAGTATTTGAAGTCAAAGAACAATGATAAGTTTTAATTTTGTGTCATGAAGATTTGTTAGTTTTGTTAATCTGACTATTAAGTGAGTGTTAAAAGGAATTAATAAGTTGTAATATTCATATCTTAGGACACGTGACACGAATGACGTCACATATGCATGCTTCCTTTTACACACATGTTTACATGTGCTCAAAGGTTTGATTGCCTAGCTGTACTTATAAGGTAATCAAGTTGATAGGAAATCAGAGATCTTCAGTTTTGTATTATTTAATGCTATGAATTTGCATGTATCACCTTAGCGACGAAAGATAATTGCAACGTTACAAAACGACTAAATGTTTAAAAAAATCCGACTAAATATTTAAAATATCTATGATGGCATGCAAGAGTCCATTAGCAATTTCAAACTTAATTTTCCTCCTGATTCATAACTGTCACTTCATACTGTCACAAGTATAATGAAATAACACATATTTTACAAATATACCGTCCGGACCCAAAGATGAATATAATTGCATGCTAGCAAGCAATTTGAATTCCTTGGCAAACAAACACATCACGATAAACAGGCCTTCCTTTCGATGGCAGTAATTATTTTTCGTAAGTAAATTGTTTGTATTTGCAACTTCGTTTGATTGGTATACAATTACAGGATTACAAATTGCTACGGGTATCTATGATGTATATTTCATAGTACTAAGGTGGGACCAATATTTAGTAAAAATATATTAATTAAATATGACAAACATTTTGTATTTAAGGTCACATTTATACATCGTAAACACACATGATAATTCTTTATCTTTTGTCTTACAAACCTTTTGCTGGTCGACGGTTGGAGCTTTGAACATTCAATCTTTCAGATAAATTCAACGTTCTGAAGAGTTAAGCGTCAAATGTCTGCGTCGCTTGAGTGGATACGGGGCAAATAATTTTGGGCCTTTATTGTTATGTAAAACAAAGACACAGAATAGATTACGTTATCTATTCAGTGACGACAGTATCACTTTTTAATATACGTAGAAATTTGATAAAAAATAGGACAACTTCTTCTTACAAAGTTTCATTTTATCGTTAGAAACTACAATATTTAAGCAGCTTTGAGGCAATCGTTTGCTTTCTCAGTAAAACAATGCCGAAAATGATTTCCGACAAATTGGTATTAATTGTCATCGGGTCGTCGGTATGGTCGTCGGTCACAAACAATGATGACGTTCTACCTTTGACTGATGGAAACATGCAAACTAGTCAATATTCAATATGGCGTTTGAACGAATTCATTTTATTCATAGATATGTTGATAGGAGAGTTGCAGCATTATTAAACAGTTCCACTCTTTGGCATGATGATGTACTGACCTATATCAGTGGATACATAGCCAAGAAAATTACAAGTTGCATCAAGTGTGCTGAATGTGCAACTGCCTTAACCATAGAGAATGATGACCAACCTCTCATACCTGACCACTCATAGTATGATACTGTCATGAAGGTTCATTAAAGTCAAGCTTAACCGCTTTCAAGACCTATGGCAAGCTTACAAGTCCATCCTCCAGTTCCTCCTCATTGGTAAAAGTAGTAAAAGCAGCAGATAAAGCCCTTCGATGAAGATTAATTTTCCCATCTTTTTGTATGTATTCAATATCATGTATTTCAATATGGACGAACAATTATGGGAACTAAAGCAGACGAAATCCGTTTAGTTTGGTAGACAAACGCCTCGAGACAACCAAACGACCTATTTACACAACACTTCGCAAGCGATATTTTCGCCTGTATTCCAATAATAATTGTCTAATATGGCTTCAAAACATTTTTAATAACGCTTTGTTTCCAATAAAACTTGATTGTTTAAGTACAGCCTATCAAGATCGTTGATACCAAAGTTTGTATTCTGTCCAGACTTACCTATTTTCATGCAGTTTAATCATATAATATTGTTTTACTTCTATAGATAAATACTTAAATCAATTTGGTGGTGGTAATCAATATGCATATTATCACGAAGAAGATGAATCAACTTTCCATCTTGTTGACACAAGTTGACCACAAAAGCCTGTTTACATGCGCAATAGGAACAAATTCAGTCAGGTACAATAGAAAATGTTTCTATACTTTTAAGTCTCAAAATAAAATCACTTCTTTATTATATTTGTAAATTTCTTCATCTAAATTACTCCTTTTTATATGAACAACATTAACATAAAATTTTTTATTTTTTAGAGAAATAATTGACGTGATAAAGAGCGTCAGATGCCACGTCAACAAGCTGGGATGCAGAATTTGCTGAAGACTCGTGACAACAGACTCCTTCGTAAATTGCAGAAACAATTTGCCTACAGAAACAACTGGCAGGAGCGTAGAAATCAGGTTTGTGCTAAACATAGTTGAGAGGGAGGGAGGGTAAGTTTTAAGGTGAAACCTCAGTGAAGAAAGTGGACAAAAGAATTGTGATAGTGTGTTACATGTATGTAAACTTTGAACTCCAAAGGATACATTATAAATTTATAGTAATTATGCGACTTGCATAAGATATTATGGTGCACAAACCGATGTACCTCAACCATGAACACCTCAGAGGATACATAATAAATATATAATAACATGACTGGTACACTTATGGATATACTGTAATTTTATATCTATATATTTAACCTATATATAGACTCCTCAGAGGATACATAATAAATATATAGTAACATGACTGGTACACTTATGGATATACTGTAATTTTATATCTATATAGTTAACCTATATGTAGACTCCTCAGAGGACTCATAATAAATATATAGTAACATGACTGGTACACTTATGGATACATTTCCTAAGCATTTTTCTTTCTTAGATCACGATTCTTGTCTCAACAATTGTTCGAAAGAGAAGTCACTTTTAACCAACGATTTATGATGGTAAGATTTTTACATCAACAAAATAAACTCATGAGAAAGTTATGTTTATCTCAGGTGTTTAAATTAGCTATTGTAACTTTACAAAATTTCATTTTTTACAGATGAATAAAATTACGCCATTGTCAAACGCCCAAATTTCGACAATTTTTAATGTGAAAATCTTGTCGAATAAAAACATGGAATTTATCTTTATCAAAAAAACAAATTATAAAAATCCTAATTTTCTTACTGCAGTCAATATTTTCAATTTCATGCCGTGTGCGACATGCACAATTGTAAGAAATGGCCAATCTTGTTTCTGTGCTTGCCGTCGTCGACATGAAACTGGGGATGTTTGTCAGATAGCCTGAAAATTAGCTTGATACGATGGTTAATATCGTCCATTCTTTTTCTTCCGAAACAAGTTTAACTGTTTTCAGTATGTTGGTCCAAATGTCGAAAATCAAATGAAAAAAATAGTAATTTATCTTTTTGTGAAAGGACAATCCTTGCACATTATAGTGTTTTAGTCTGACTCTAGTCTTTACGTCTACTTTTGTGTCTACCTTTTTATTTCCATTAGTCTTCCTCTTTTTGTCTTTCGTGAATCTTTTTGTATATCTTTTTGCTTTATTTGTGTGACCTTTTTGTCTATGTTTTTGTCCACCTTTGTGTCTACTTTTTTGTCTAATTTAAATCAATCTCATTTCATTTAAACCTCATTTTTAATTTATATTTGATTTTCTTGGGATCAGAGATAACCACAACATTTTGTATTGTGATTTTGTGGTAAAATCATTTATGTAGCTAGGAGAATCATTTCAAAGCAATGTAAAGCAAAAGCAAGACATGAATGTCATAGCAATGAAAATGACTCATTACTGTCCATATTAGTAGTAAAGACACCAGTAGAAATGACTCATTTACTGTTCTTATTAGTTGTAAAGACATTAGCCAAAAATGTCTGGTCATGTCATTCACTCTTGAACATGGATACATACTTTAAAGGAGGGTGTTGACCTAGAAATGTATTCCTAATATAAACTTTTTATAGCTTGTACAAAACTTCTCTAATGTTCAAGTAATGTTTTGGAAAAAAAATAAGAAGTTCCTTGCAAAATGAAATGCTAACTGTTACTCTTCAAGATGCCCTGGGAATAAATGACATAGCAGACTCCTTATTTTGGGTAGGAGGCATATATTCATTTATTCATGTTCTGCCATATTAAGTTCCTTTGAAGTCCATTGTTTTCAAAGGAATAAGTCATGCATGTATGAATTTGTGCCCCCAATTAACAAGTATCCTGGGATTTTTTATATATTACTAAATCTGGTAGTCTAAATTCTGGTAGTCGGACACTTAAATGTGTCATTTTTACTTCTGTCAATGCTATGGCAAGGATATCCTGCTTTTTCTTCTTCAGGTTATTTATAACGTTTACTTTACATTGCCTTTATTGTTTGAACTATAATAAAGTATTATTGAATCAATCATTAAATGGTTAAATGTGTCATTAAATAAATATTTCCTCCAAAGTAAAAAAACAACAATGTCACAACAATTAAGATGTTAGTCCCCATGTAAAATATGATTGAATCAAATAACAATAACTGCATATCAATTTCAAACAACTACAATTCTCGTAAATAGAAAGCATATTTTTGTAAATTATATGAATGAATAGAAATAAATATAGAAAAGATTCATACCTATATAGCAAAGCAAATCTTGTGGGCTTTTCAGCATTTCAAAAAGGGATGTTACATGATCGTGGTTGCTGTAAGATCAGCATTTACTCTCATTATACAAGAAAATGACCCAACAACATTCATTTTAAGGAACTTCACTACTTCTGAATAGCTTGATTTTGGAAACTAAACCCATAAATATACTTTGATAGTTCCATACAAGTTTCTTAATAAAAACTGTTTCAGTAAATAAATGACAGTTGAAAACTCGAAATTACAAATATTTGAATATTGTCAATAATATGTTAAACCTTTTATAAATATACAACTGTTGTTATTTGAACCTTTGTTAAAATAACACTTCAATACAACTGTTTCTAATCAGCTTTAGTATAAAGAAGACAGACCTAAAAGGAAAAGAGAAATTGATTTTCTTCTTCATTGAAAATGAGCAATAAATTCATTTCCTCTTCTTCTATCTCCTTGTACGTTTTCTCAAAATAAGAATATTTTATCTTCTAGCCATAAAAAGATAAATAGAAGTCCAAAAGCTTCAGTTTCAATATCTATAGTTTGTTTATAACCAAATGAAGATTTTTGTATATTATTGCAGTACATGTTCAGGTCCAAATGTTGTTAAAATAACCATCGCTCGTTCAAAAAAATCTTTTCCTTTTTCGTACTCTCCCATTTTTATGTAAACCAAACCCATATTGCTGTACGTTGCCACATTATTAACATGGTCAGGTCCAAGTGCTTTCGTCAGAATTTTCATCGCTCGTTCATAAAAATCTTTTGCCTTTTCGTACTCCCCTATGTCATCGTAAACCAAACCCAGATTGTTGTACGTTGTCGCAATATTAACATGGTCAGGTCCAAATGCTTTCGTTTGAATTTCTATCACTCGTTCATAAAAACCTTTTGCTTTTTCGTACTCTCCCATATCACTGTAAACCGAACCCAGATTGTTGTACGTTGTCCCAATATTAACATGGTCAGGTCCAAATGTTTTTGTTTGAATTTTCATCGCTTGTTCATAAAAATCTTTTGCTTTTTCGTACTCTCCCATATTATCATAAACCGAACCCAGATTGTTGTACGTTGTCGCAATATTAACATGGTCAGGTCCAAATGTTTTTGTTTGAATTTTCATCGTTCGTTCATAAAAATCTTTTGCTTTGTCGTACTCTCCCATATTATAATAAACCGAACCCAGATTGTTGTACAATGCCGCAATAATAAAATGGTCATGTCCTTCTGCTTTTGTTTGAATTTTCATCGCTCGTTCATAAAAATCTTTTGCTTTTTCGTACAATCCCATATTACTGTAAACCAAACCCAGATTGTTGTATCCTATCGCAATACTAACATGGTCAGGTCCAAATGCTTTCGTTTCAATTTCTATCGCTCGTTCACAAAAATCTTTTGCTTTTTTGTACTCTCCCATTTTACTGTAAACCAAACTCAGATTGCAGTACGTTGTTACAATACTAACATTGTCAGGTCCAAATGCTTTTGTTTTAATTTCTATCACTCGTTCATAAAAACCTTTTGCTTTTTTGTACTCTCCCATATCACTGTAAACCGAACCCAGATTGTTGTAGGTTGTCCCAATATTAACATGGTCAGGTCCAAATGCTTTTGTTTCAATTTTCATCGCTCGTTCATGAAAATCTTTTGCTTTTTCGTACTCTCCCATACAAAAGTAAATCGAACCTAGATTGTTGTACGTTGCCGCAACATTAACATGGTCAGGTCCAAATGCTTTCGTGCAAATTTCTATCGCTCGTTCATAAAAAACTTTTGCTTTTTCGTATTCTCCCATATTTCTGTAAACCAAACCCAGATTGTTGCACGTTGCCGCAATATTAATATAGTCAGGTTCAAATGCTTTCGTTTGAATTTTCATCGCTCGTTCATAAAAATCTTTTGCTTTTTCGTACTCTCCCATTTTACTGTAAACCAAACCCAGATTGTTGTACGTGGTCGCAATATTAACATGGTCAGGTCCAAATGTTTTTGTTTGAATTTCCAACCTTCGTTCATAAAAACCTTTTGCTTTTTCGTACTCTCCTATATTATCGTAAACCAAACCCAGATTGTTATACGTAGTCGCAATATCAACATGGTCAGGTCCAAGTGTTTTTGCTTGAATTCGCATTGCTCGCTCCAGAAAATCTTTAGCATTTTCATATTCTCCATACTTCCAATGCAACTCACCCAGCTCGTTGTACGAATATGAAACATCAATATGATCAACACCGAGCACTTTAGTTTGAATTTCTGTTATTTCATAAAGTACTTTAGTTGCAAGTTTATAGTTGCAAAATCTTTCCAAAACATCTACAATATATTTGGCAAATTTCCAATTTCTTTCATCAAGTTTTTGTTTTGATGATTTTACATCGATTAACTTATTTAGGAAATGTTGAAATGATGAATTTGTTATGAATATAATTAGATGTGGAATTATTTTGATTTCATCTTCTCTGTCTTTAAAATGATTTAGTGTCCAAGAAACTTGACAGACAAGATCAACTGCAGACTTTTTAGAATTATTTTCGTTTTGTTTACAGCCAAAGGTCTGCGATGAATAATTTATGATGGCTTCGTGTACAACGCTGTGCAGGCGTATGTCGTTGTTTTCCGTTTGAAGGAATAAAGAACAGTGCTTTAATTGAAGACAGACATCTTCTGCAGATATTTGTGGATCAATGCTTTTAACAAATGATATTATAATATCTTGTGGTAAGGGATCGAAAGATATTATTGAGAAAAGTTTAAAAACATGTTCCAACAATATGGATTCTTCAGCATTTTTTTGTACTGCAAACATAACAGTTTTCATTCCTAAGTAAGCTGGGTTTATTTTTTGAAAATTGCCATCCATTTTCTGTCCCTCTCCTTCATTCAACTTATCAAAATATTGCTCCCAGGTGAATGTCGGATTTGCACTTTTTACACTACCTACGTAGGAAGCAGCATTTGCCAGGACCAATGGTTGACGATCTAATTTGTCTGATAGATCCTTTAAAAATTTTTCATCTTTATTATGAATATCAGAAAAGACAGATAAAAGTTGTCGACATTCTTCATTGTTCATACCAAGACTAACTGAAATGTGTTTATTTAGATTTCCATCTGGTGGTATAGCATCTGTATTTTGAACAGTTACTATAATTTGACCATTTTTCCAGCTATTATCACCAACTTGGGGTAATAATGGATAAATCTTATGAAGTTCAACCACGTTATCTACAACAATCCACCATGTTTGCCAAGATTTCAGTTGTTGTGTCAGCAATAATTGAAATTCTTTAATTTTGTCTTCGCTGCTTTTTGCTTCTTTCTGAATATATTCAATGACCATTTTATCATTGTTAAAGCGTTGACAAAGTTCAGCATAAGTTTTTAAAAGTGATTCTGCATTATTTCCTTCGAGTGTCATCACAAATGTTGTTCTATTTTCCCAGTCTACTGACTTAAACATTTCATCGCAAATTTGTCTGGCTAATTGAGATTTACCAGAACCAGGATTACCAGAAATATAGTAATATGTTAGTTCATTATTGTTAGTACTGCGCAAGTTATTGAGATCTGCTGTGATTTGATTCAGTAATTCTGTACGTTTTACGACATCGTGATTTGGTTTGCAAGGAAGTACTTGAAAAGAATTAAATCTGTTTCGTTGACATTTAATTTCATTAATTTCAGTGAATGAAAATGCTAGATCTTTAAATGACTTTTCAATATCACAAGCCACTTTGTCAAATTCGGTATCAGATACTCTTCCAGGATTATCATGAATAAATTTGTTTCTAACAATACGAAGTGCATCAACTGCAGATCTAACTTTTGGGTTAACTTTTGTTCCAATTGATTGGGAAAACAGTATTGCTGCAAATAGTGTTGTACAATCCCACTTGCTTGTGTCACCCACTTGAAACTTTGACAAAATATGGCTGTCAAAATTTCTCTTTTTTGTTCTTTCAATATTGAACAACTTCTGACCACTAACGTTTGTATTATCCCATTCTCCGTGGGATTTTTTGTAATTAATGTCCCACTCTTGGATAAATAAATCAACAAGTTTCTTCGTAACAACATCTGTAAGTATTTTCTGAATGTAGTAGTTATTCCTTTCTTCTCTTGACTCCATCTAAGGATTATAAAAGGATTAAGATGAACATGGATACAGTTCATTAATCATAATTTATGGACAACTGAAATATGTTGAATATTATCAGTTCGTAAATTTTCAGTTGTATATGAAAATGGTTAATGAAGCTGGTAGCCAAAAACAGCTTGTGAATATTTTTGTTTAAAGTTGTCCTGCATTTAGGCATTTCTGTGGAAGTTAGAGAAGTTTTTAAAAACCTTCATAAATAATAATACCTTGTATCGCTCCATGGTCATTCTACCGTGTCGTCAAGAAAAGTGAAGCAAGTTTAGTTTATAAGTTTTAGTTTATATAAATTTCTGCAACGACTGCGTATAGAAAAATAGACCAGGCGGAGAAATGTTATCGTCCCCCAACGCTGGAGTTTACTTCAGTAGACTTTTTGGTCAATTTTGGGGCGTTGATATCAAAAAACGATGTCATACGGGCAATTTTTGGGGGCTTCAAGCCTCCTTTCCATAAAAATTGTTATTTTAGCTTTATTTTCAATAGACATACACTATGACATCGTAAAACGTTTAAACTTATCAAAAGAACAAAAAATTAGTAAAGAAAGCCAAGAAGAAAAATAGAATAACGTTTTACCTTGAGATTTGTCTAAATGTTTAATGCTTTTTGGTGAACGTCATTTCCTGGCGTACGTCTGCAAAGAAATTTTTTGGAAACGAACTTTACCAGGGGCGCCAGAGCCACGAGGGCAGATGGTTACCCCTTTTCACATTTTGAACAAATGGCAGACGTATATTTTAATTCCCGATATGCGAGTTCCCCACTTACAGATTCTTTGACTTTTATCTGATTCGAAGACTTGTTAGCTAGTGTGTCTTTAATTCAGCTGTAATTTAGCGCGTTTTTCATAAACCATTTTTATTAGTATCTAAGGACGAAATAAACATTAATTTTGACGGCAGAGAATGTAATGTGTAAATACTGTTTACTTTGAAAAATTTACATGTTAAATTAGTAACGTTTTTGTTATGAGGAAAATAAATTTTCACGTTTGTGGGAACGGCAACTACACAGTCCAATTTTGCTGGCAGAATTTTTTATCACTTGTGTTGAGTCATGCTTATAAAGAGCAAAAATACGTTTAGGGAAATAGAATGTACATAGTTGGGTTTAGCAGTGTATCCGCTCCCATACGGTTAACACCCAACAAACACTTATTGACGTAATATATGACGTTATTGACGTCATATATGATGTCCTTATGTACCATATGTATATTAGATATTAAGTTTGAAAATTTGTAATCCAGGCATTTAATAAATGAAAGATAAAAGTTTCTCCGGATTTAAAGTGAGTTTTAATGAGCTTTCGACTCGTTGCTTCGAGCCTTGATCAGAATGAAAAATATTTTTCATTCTGATGAAGGCTCGAAGCAGTCTCACTTTAAAATCGGAAAACTTTATCTTTCATTTATATTAGATATTAGATAGAACAACTATTTGACCAATGATAATATTTGTTATTTGTAATGAATACTATATAAATATTGCTCTGTAAAACAATAAAATCAGTTCGTTCAATAAGTCGAAATTTGGAGCAATACCACGTGATTTACGAGCAAAGAAAGCTGCAAATAAAAAGAACAAGACAATTGCTGATACGAGTGGTCAAACCAATTAGCATCATTTTTTCATTCTAAAGAATTGGTGGAAAATTACACACGATAACGAAATATTAGAAAGGGAAGATCTCACCCCATCAACTAGCAGTACTGACTGTGACTCAGGCCGTGAAACATCAATGGTGAATTTTGATCCATGGATCAAAGTTATGAGCGACTTCAACGATGGAAAAAAGCTTCGAAGTAAAAATAAAGGAAGATTTTTACAGTCCAAATGGCTCAAAAAATTACTAATGGCTCTCATATCACTGCGAGAAGAGGGCAACATTTTGTAAAACGTGTACAGAATACAGGCAAGCGTACAATATTCACCATTCATCTTCACTCAATCTGGCACTGGTTTCTGTAACTGGAAGAAAGGCGTAGAACGTCTAACAGGTTACAACCAAAGCGGAATCCACAAAAATGCTACTAAACAGAAAAGAAATACCCAGCCTACAGTTGATTTGCAGGTAAGTAGCCATGTAAAAATGCAGCAACGTCTTAGGCGACAAGGCTTGGTGGCCCATTTGAATATATTAAAAACACTTCTTACACAGTGTGTAGCAAGTCAGAGTGATAAAGACGAGGAGTCGAACATCATTCAATTTAAAAAAGACATCGATCAAGAAGGATTACATCTCCTTTTAAAACAAAATCAATACATGTCTCATGATATTTTAGTTGAACAAGAAGAAAGATTGGTGCTGAGTGCAAGAAGAAGTCTTTTTAATGAAGTAAATAGTAGTAAATTTTATGCTATAATTTGCGATGAATCAAGTGACATTTCGAAAACTGAAATTATCTATTTCTGCTCACCATTGAACTGAAAACTACAACGTTTTAGAAGATTTTATTGGCGTCATGCCATGTGACGAGGGTTTATCATCTGAAGTCCTTTTTAAAGTATGTTAAAGACATATTGGTGCATTGCAATTTGCATCCTCAAAGAATGGCTGCTATGGCATTTGATGGAGCTTTAGCAATGAAAGGTTGGCGATGCTAATAAAAGATGAAGTTTGATGAGCATCTTAAACGTAAAGAGAAGAAAGAAGATAAGAAAGAAGAAAATGGATTATACAGGAGAAAAAAGGGAAACTACAATGAGGAAAAAGGCATGACTTTGCAAAAGTCAATGAAAGGCCTAGAGGAGAAATTTCACAATGCATCAAGCCAGGATGGAACATGGGAAGAGATGAACGAATGTGTGATTCCAATAAAGGAAGATATTTTACCTGCTTCAGATGTAACCAGGTGGGACACAGCAAGAATTTGTCCGTTGAATACAAACAATAAGAAAGAAGGAAGTTTATGTGTTATTGAAGGCAGTGACGTTGTTCTTATTCATGATATTAAACCCTCTGATGAATGATTCATCTATTTCGCTGCAGCAAAGCATATAACACACAACAAGGATTTTTTAGTCGACTATGTTGAATATCAAACACCAACCAAAGTGCAATTTGATGGAAATGATTGTATTGTATCAAAGAATAATAAAGATTATGTTATTGCCGAGTTAACAGATGGAATGTTACATACTGTGAAGGATCCTGAATATTCTCAATCGTCAATTCATACATCTCCTCAAATATGCCATCAAAGGTTAAGCCATCTAAATCATGATTACATAAAGAAAATGATGAAGAAAAATATGGTGAAGGGAGTAGATAATGGAGAAACGAGACAGCTGCAAGCAATTGTGAAGGATGCATCCACGGAAAGATGCACAGAAATCCTTCTCCTAAAGCAAGTCAACACTGAGATACTAAAGCAGATGAAGTTGTCCACAGTGATGTGTGGTCTCATGCAAGTTGAATCGAAGGTAGGCAGTAGATATATGGCAACATTTATTGACGACTATTCACGATTTGCAGTTGCATATTTCATCAAGCGCAAGAGTGAAGTACTCGCAAAGTTTAAAGAATTTGTTAATAATGTGAAAAACCAAAGTTCAAACAAATGACATGTGAAGATCTTAAAAAGTGACATTGGTGGGGAATACACATCAAACGATTTCGTGAATTATTGCGCCAATGAAAGAATAAATCAAGAATTCACAAGCCCATTTGCCCAGAACAGAACGGAGTGGCAGAGCGTCTCAACCGTACAACGCTGGAATCTGCCAGCTCTATGATATACACTGCTGCATTGCCATTGAACTTTTGAGCGGAAGCTTGTAATACCGCCATTTATCTTCATAATCGAAGTGCCACAGCTACATTAAAGAAAAAAAAACCGTTTGAATGCTTTTTTAGAGAGAAGCCTGATCTTTCAAACCTAAAGGTGTTTGGATGCAAATGTTTTTTACACGTCCAAAGCTGTAATCGTCGGAAGCTTGATCAAACATCAAACGAAGCAATCTTTGTTGGATATCCCTCGAGCACTAAAGGATACAAGGTATTGGACTTAAACCGAAACCGTTTTACAATCATTAGAGACGTAGTATTTCTTGAAAACAAATTTCCTTTTGCTGAACAATCACAGCAGAGGAATGTCGATATGTTAAGCGATACCGTCGTTCGTATGGACGAAGAAGATGTAACATCAGAAGAAAAACAGAATGAAGGAACCAACAAAAATGCTGACTCATTCAGAAGAGCAAGCGACACTTTTTATATGACTATAATTAATGAACAACACTCAAGCAGAGAAAATACTGAGCAAGTGGGAGAACATGTAGAACAACCAAATCGTAAGACATACGAAGATTCATTTATGGAAGATGTAAGGAATTTAGGACAAACAAGTGAAAGAAAAATCCCTCGTCGATTTCGTGAAGACGCATATCAAGTTGCTGAATCACTGATTTCAGACATAGATTATCCTAAAAGCGTTAATGAAGCACTGAATGGAAAGCATGCAGAATTATGGAAGAATGCCATTACAGAAGAATACTCATCTCTTATGGAGAATAACACTTGGGAATTGGTTGCACCATTGAAAGAGAAGAACATCATCGGTTCCAAATGGCTTTTCAAGGTAAAAAGGAATGAAAATGGATCCGTTGACAGATGTAAAGCCAGACTGGTTTCACAAGGATACTCATAATCGAAAGGAACAGATTACGAAGAAGTATTTTCTCCCGTGGCCAAATACACGTTAATCAGATCACTGTTATCTATGGGAAATGTTCAGAATCTTGAAATCCACCTGATGGATGTCAAAACAGCGTTTCTAAACGGCAATATAGATTACCAATTTTATATGTCTCAACCAGATGAATTCGTTGATCCACGGAAACCTAATCACGTATGTCGATTAAATAAAAGCATTTATGGCCTCAAGCAATCGACTCGATGTTGGTATGATACGCTTGATAAATATCTATTAATAATTGGCTATCGAAAGAATGATACAGACGGATGTATATATGTTAAATCAGTAAAGAAGGACAATGGGCACATTAGTTTTGTGATTCTAGGAGTTTACGTCAACGATATATTGCCAGTGTCCAACGATGTCGAGATGCTTAATGCAGAAAAACAAGCACTATGCCAAAACTTCAGGATTGATGATCGTGGAGAAGTTCACTTCTTATTGGGAATGCTGATCAATCGTGATCACAAGGCGAAGACAATAACAATAAGTCAACGAAATTATATGGAAAAGACATTGACAGGATTTGGTATGGAATCGTGCAAACCGATGTCCACACCGATGAAAAATGGTAAGAAATCTCATGAAGTGCAAGAAAACAATAAGGTTTGTTGATGTGCAGACATATTAACAAGCTATAGGATGTTTAACATATTTATCAGTAATTACCCGTCCCAATATCAGAGCAGCTGTAAATGTCCTATCTAAATACATGGCAAAACCAAGCGATGATCATTGGATCGGGGTGCAGCGTGTTCTTTGTTATCTAAAAGGAACGTTAAATTATGGACAGAAGGATACCGCTGATGATGACCCCAAATTAGTTGGTTTTTCAGATTCCGAATAGGCGGGAGATTTAGATTCGAGAAAATCTACATCAGATTACGTTTTTAAACTTGGAGGAAACACAGTGAGTTGGTCAAGTAAGAAGCAAGCTACTGTTGCCAAATCTTCTACTGAGGTGGAATATGTCGCATTGTCTATAGCAACGCAAGAAGCGATTTGGTTGAGAATGTTATTGAGCGATTTGGGATTAAACACGAAGACGCCCATCATTATTTTTGAAGATAACCAAGGTGCGCTAGAGTTAACCAAAAACCCAAGCCACCACAGCCGTACTAAACACATAGATGTATGTCATCAGTTTATTCGTGAAAGGATTTCGTCAAAGGAAATTAAAGTGGAATATTGTCCAACCGAAAGGATGATCTATTAAATCATGATGAAGTTTAGAAATCTATTAAATGTTTATTTAGTTTAAAGACGAAATTTCTCGCAAAACCATCAAGTGGGAGTGTTAGAATTATGATAGTTTGCGAGAAGAGATATTCAATAGTTAAAAGATATGTATATAGTTCAGTTTATTACATGGTCTTGTTGACAGTAAGAGGGCAAAATGTTAGTTTTAATTATACTCTTTTATAATTTTACCAGCAAGCGTCGACGTGCTATTTAAACAAATAAGAGCGATAGTTATTATTCAATTTGAATAACTGCATAATTTGTTTCCGAAAAATACAGAAGAGTGATTAACTATAGTTTTTGAATGAAAGTCATCTTTGGTTGATTTGAAATTTCTATGAACAGTGCACATAAATTTATCATGAAAATCTTTAACAATTGATCATTTCATAGTTATATAAATGAAAAATACATCGATAAAATTTGCACTAAACACTAATCTTGTAAATATATCTTATTTAATTGGTATAAATGTGGGAAAAGTCGGTATTTTCACAGTGTAAATCATTCAAAATTTATCGGTGTTTGAAAATCCCACAAAACTTAAGAATTGTTATCCATATAAAACATACGTGGCACTAATTTATAAGTTATATTTAACTACAATATTCGTGACATTAAAACAAAACAATTGATACATGGACACAAAACATTAAACCAGAAGGTTAAGCTACACCATTACATAAAGGCGAGTAAACTTTAAAATCAACATACCTCACAAATTGAGAAAGATTAAAAACGACGCAACCATCTACATGATGTGTTGCTTCTGCTTGATAATAAAGAAATTAAAAATTACTATTATTTATTTCAATATCTAAATATCCTGACTTACATGCAAACTAACTGAAATAATGATAAAGGAAGTCAGGCAGCCAGCCTTTTACAAGTAAGATAGCTCAAAAATTAAAGATTTATAATTCAGGAAGTTAAGAAAATCGATAAACAGAGCTTCTCTAAAATTCTCAGCGTTCCAACTTTGAAACGTGGTCAATGAAATTTTATCATTTTTTAAACTTTTGATACGGATAAACAAATAATTTGATCCGAGGCGTGAGAAGCAAGCAAAAGTTGGGGGGCTCGAGATCTTAGGGGCAATCTTTATTTAAGAAGGGAGTATCAGAGTAATTAATCTCGAAGTCTCTAATTTAGAATAATTTTGTCACATCTCAGTAATCATAGACACTACAAAACTGATAGCGTTTGGACTTGACACTTCATCTTGCAAAGTTTTGTCATTTTGTGAACTTTTGACGCAAACAAATATTTTAAATAGTCTATCTTACAACAAGTTGAACAAATATGAACCAGAAAAAATCACGTGTACTATCACGTGAAGAAGTGATCTTTTGACTCAAATTAGGCGCAATTTCTAAAGACATACCTAGCAAAACTTATTTATGTCATCATCTGTGTTACAAATACGATAAATAGATAGGTGACTGTATAAAAGAGGAAAAAAATTCATCTTGACAAAAGCCATGTTAGATAAAATTAAAATCATTCCGCATTTATGATATGCATAACTGAAATTCTGTGACGTGTCATGATTTTGATTCATCTTGTTGATTTTTTAGCCCTGCCGTACAAATGATATTTGAAAAAACTAGCGAAATTAATTGTTGGTGATAATGCAAGAAAGGTCGGTAATTTAAATTGATAAATTATCCAATGTGTTATTGGAAAAGTCCCACCAAAATCAACAGATGTATCAATATAAAACATATGAAGTGCGAATTCCACCACGAAAAGGACATTCAGGTATTTTATGACAAATATAACAAAATTCTAGACAGGTGAACTTTATAATCAACATACCTTAACAAATTTAGAAAGATTAAAGAAAACGCAACCAGCTACGTGATGCCCTTGCTTCTGCTTGATAATAAAGAAATTGGAATGTTCATTAAATGTTCAATTTGAATCAATTGCTGTTTTTATGGTAAAATAGTAAATTCTTTTTCTACCCAATAAAATATGAAATGCAAATTTTTTATTTTAGCTATGACTGGATTAAAAACAAAGAAGTTTTGATTTGGAAGCTTTATGCCAATAAACCTTTCACAATTTACTATTATTTCACAATTAACTCAAATAATCTGAAGATGTCTTAAGTTAAAGACGAAACGCTATTAATAAATCCTTCTCCATTTTATTATTGTGATGGCTTTTTTAAAAGTATTATGTTGGGCTATTATTCCATTGAAATTCTGTGACGTGTCATGATTTTGATTCATCTTGTTCATTTTCTAGCCTTGGCGTACCAATGATATTTAAAAAGACTAGTGAAATTAATTGTTGGTGATAATGCAAGAAAGGTCAGTATTTTGAAATGATATATTATCCAATGTGTTATTGGGGAAATCCCACCAAAATCAACAGATGTATCAATATAAAACATATGAAGTGCGAATCCCACCACGAAATTGACATTCCATTATTTATGACAAATATAAGAAAATTAAAGACATAAGAACAAACAATGACACTCTGATAGGTAAACTTTTCAATCAACATACCTTAACAAATTTAGAAAGATTAAAGACGACGCAACCAACTACGTGTTGTCTTTGCTTCTGCTTAATAATAAAGAAATCAGAATGTTACTAAGTGCTTGATTTTAATCACCTGCTGTTTTTATTGTAAAATATTGAATTCTGTTCATAACAGCGAGACGATAAAATGATATGAGCAAATTTTATATTTTAGCTATAATTGAAATATACACGACAGGGATTGATTTAAAAATTTATTGCAAATTTAATTTCAGTTCAACTCAATCAACTCATAAATGTTGTACACATTTAATTATTATTAATGTTCAGTATTGACATGGGTGTACGGGACCAAAAACATCAGGATGCGGACACTATTTTGCTCGACGAAAGCGGAAATCCTTTACATGCAGTGTCGTAGTTAGACATGAAGAAAGACATGAACTTCTGGGGAGCATATTTTCTAACGCCAAACGCGTGAGCCTTTCTAGTGAGGTCTCTAAGTCATGCTCACCCTTGGAAGATTTCTAAATTCCATCTAATCCCAAAAAGGTGATTACGATTACTTTGTATAAAGGTTTGATTATAAAATCTTTGATTGGCTAATCTATAATCTAAAACAAATATGGCGGATTCAACTCTCGTCTTTCGTCTTTCAAAAATTTTAATTGACGATATATTTTCTTACTTGGAACAACAGAATGTTTTCTGTTAGGATTGTAGATGCAGATTTTTACGTGGGAAACCTATAGATGGCTTAGATATTTTGTTTTCTAAATTTCGCGAGGCGAATGTTAACCGTGTTCCTGTTTTGAGGGTATTTGGCTCAACTCCTGGTGGACAGATAACTTGTGTTCATATTCATCAAGTATTTCCTTACTTATACATACCTTACGATGGAACTAAACCCACAGATAAATATCTGAAACAATTTACGACAAGTGTAGACTTTTCTGTTCAAGTTGCGTTTGGTAGAACTTTTGGTAGAACTTGTATATTCCAACAAATAACGTTTCAATGTTATTCACCCAAAATGATTTTATTTTTTAGACCATTTTATGGTTATCATGAGAACGAAGAAGAGTTTATTAAGATGGAGTTGTACAATCCAAGAATAATTTCCAAGTAAGATATATTTTTCATGTTGTTCTAACATAAAACAACATCAAAATTTTTCATTTTTTTCAGACTTGTTGATCTTCTTCAGAATGGAGCTATATTGAACAAGTCATTTCAACCACACGAAGCTCATGTTCCTTATATTCTACAGGTAATTATTGTTTTTTATTATTAATGAGGAAAAACTTATCTTTGATTGTTAAAACCCAGACTGGAGTGGTTAGTTTGTAAACTGTGCACCAGACAGGGGGCAAGGCCTGCAAAGTTTGTTGTTTATTTCTTTAGAAATTAATCTCATTCATTGTTTTTCAAAGTAATTGATTAAAGCAATATTTGTATTGTACATAGGAGTAAAAAATGGGCTGACATTTCTACCTACATCAGAGATGCAACATTTGCATGTATAGGTGCCCACTTTGCTATAATTATACATCAGATCTCAGGTGCCCAATAAAAACATTCCATTATGGATTATAGCTGTAAATTTCATGTGCAAAACATTTTGTCAATAAAGTGAATGGTTTGAACACATTGTGGAAGTATAGCTGCATGTTTGTTGATGTTGATCATAAAGGATACTACAGTATTGAGAAGGACTGTTGGGGGTAGTCTTGATTGTTGTTTTCACATCTAGATGAGATGATTACTGGTAACAATGTTAAAATGTCATTCAACACTAATGCCACTGACCTTCTTTAGTCTTTTCCTACCTGGATGGTCAGCTTCTATAGATTTTCACTAAGTTACATGATAAGAATTATATTGAAATATTGTTTATTTTAGTTTCTAATTGATTACAATCTTTATGGTACGAACTTACTTCATGTAAGAAAAATTCATTTTAGAGGAATTTCTTCAAAAACAGGAAAGTTTCATTATTGATTTTTTCAGCATTCTATAAAAATCTAACACCACAAATTATTATTTACTATCAAATTGAATTTTATAGATAAAAATCTTTCATATAATAATAAATCAATTCCACCCCATGGTTCATCTTTAAATTCATTTCTCAATTTTCCTTCATCTCAACACTGGAATGAAGACACTATTCCTAGGTTTGTTTGATTCATATATTTTACACTTGAAGATTAATTGAAACCAAAAGGATTTGTGTAAATCCTTAATCCTAAATTTGACACATGTGCGTACGATTTATCCCAAGATTTAGAGTCAATACCCAATCCAGATTACAGAATTAACATTCAAAAAATTAGTTTAACTTTGGAATGATTCTTTGTGATAACTTTCTTTACAGTTGATATTCATCATTTTAATGTTTGTTATTTGTCATTATTTAGAAATTTATGCCTGGATCCTACTGTGAAAGAAGTCAGTCGTTGTGAACTTGAAGTTGATGTTACTTATTGAAGACATCTTGAATCAAATAAATGTTGAAAGTAAAATTTACTTATCTTTATGTCTTCATTTTACTGTTTATACATCTTTAATAAGTTTATTATGTTTATGAAGGTTGTATTGGTCATAATCCTGGTATAACTGCTATGTGGGAAGATGAAAGACAACGAACAGGAGATATTGGACTATCTTCACAAGTTGCTCCTCCTGTTTCACAAGGTAAGGTACAAAAAAATACATGTCACATCATTGTATAGTTCACAATACATTTCATGAATTTTATATTGTTATGGCATTCAGTGGCTGTGACATGTTCATCTCAGAATGATGTTGTTTTATAGTCCATAAAATTTCATGTTTTGTTAAAGATGTGTTCAACTTTTCCTTTATTAATTTTTGTTTACTTTACAGTTAGCACTACACATAAAAATTCAATTTTTTTATCGTTAGATCATGTTGAGACATCCGTATTGACTTTTGAGAAAGAATTCAAAGAAAAAATCAAAGAAATTATGATGAAAGAAACAAAGTGATGTAAGATTTGATCTTGTGATGTTTAATGATTTGACTTTATATTTTTATAAATTTCAAATAAACTTGCAGTCAAAGTGAGTTGAAGACAATGGAAAAATCTCTTTTATCCGAAGACTTAAAGAATTTTCTCAAAGTATTTTGTCACAAGGCAAGCAACTGCAGTGTGAAACAACAATAAACCAAGGTTTGATGATTTTTGTCAACTTATTTCAAGTTATAATCATACAATAAAATATTTCTATTTTTTCTGTTTTAGATGTGGTTGTGGATAGTCCAGTTGTTGATCAGTCAGTTATAGATGTACTACAAGCCAGCCAGGCTAGCAATTCATATATTATTCACCAAAAATAATTCTTTCTCTCTCAAGGGTTCAAATTTTTATTAATATGAGACATTTATTTATCGGGAGAGTTGGATAAAGAATTGGTGGAGATTTTAATGAGTTTGAATAAGGATGACAATGAAACACTGCTGCATGAATGTTCTCATATTTCGGGCTCACAAAGTAAGGATAAACACTCCATTATATGAATATTGTATTGAGATCAAAACTACCATAATTAGACATGGATATCAATGGTGATTGTGTACACTTTTATTTGTGTTTAGTAAAATTTGTCTTATATGAAGTTTTTCAATTAATCTTTTTTATTTTATTGTTTATTTAGAAGGTAGTGATGATGAACATGATGAAGATATTGATGAAGATAAAGAATCAATATTAATGTCACAGCCATTTTGGAAAGATGATAAAGAGGAACATGATTCCCAAAGGTAAAAGTATCCATTTTTGTTTATAAAATAAAGACAGAAAAATGCGTGTGTTGATTTGTCTATAGTTGAGTTAACATTTGCTAACTTGGCATGAGCAAACCTATCTGAGCTCAATCAATTGAAATCAATCATAGAGAATTTCCAAATAAAGCATGAATACATGTTACAGGAAAAATTAAAACATTTGTTTTTATTTTGTCTGTTTTGTATTATCGTTGTTTTATAAAAGAAGTAAAAGATGTTTTTTGTGTTTACACAGGCTTATGTAAACCTCGGAGACGTTTGTGAGAACTTTGGAGCAGGTGCAAGCCTTTGACTCTGGTCATCACTGATTGAGTTCTCCCAAAGGTCTCCTTGCTTTTTATAATCCTGTGCAAACACTGTAAACATCTTTAATAAAAAACAATCAATCTTCTCTAAAGTTTTGAGTATCTGTCTTCTTCACTTGCAGTTCGGAGGAGGAAAAGGAAATGGACTGGAAACCACCTTTGTGTATGCCTCGAGTGGATAGTCCTAGTGATGACGAGGACTCCAGGGGACATGTGTAATCAATAAATTTTCACTCCACGAGAGAATCTCGAAACACTAAACACGCGTGTCTGGGTGTAATCTCGCTTGTCTGGATGTAATCTCGCGTGTCTGGATGTAAGATTTGGCTTTAATTATTTGCTTCAGGTAGCGTTCCATGTTCAATGGTAACAACATACATCATCTTAATGAAATTTTATTTGTTTAATTCCCACGCAGGCAGAAAGTTCTCTCTCATCCTTAATGTACAGCAGCCGTTCGACAATCATCATTTAGTAAAGATGGAAGGTAAATTTTACATGTTACGTTTCATCTCACGGGAACAATTTCTTTGTTTACCCATGTAAAATTATTGTTTTTTGAACATTTTTCAAAGTCAAGGAAAGCATGTGAAAAGAACATAGATAACATTTTCATAATGATAAAATAACATGTTTTTCTCATTAAAACTTTCACTTTGCGAAGATATTTTACTATTTGTTTTCCTGTGGCACATTTTTCATTTATCTACCAAGAACCCATTTCCAACGCGAAACTAAAAGTGACCGTTTTCGTTCATTGGTCATTGAGAAAAAGTTTTTGGGAGATTTTAGAGTTGATTTCACAGTATTTATACCTTGTAAATTGTCAAGTTTCTTAGAGCAAAGTCCACTATGACTGGATGGTAAATAATTTGCACAGCGAATATTTAACTTTCAACAACCTTAGCTGTAGTCATTTGACTTTGAATTTTCTGTTGAAAACACACGAATTTAAACATGTTAACGTTTCTTTAATTGACGTCATAACTAAAATTATTATTGTGATTGGCTCCTTAGCATGTCACTTCACAAAGACAACAAGTAATCCTTAATGCGTTTTTAGGCCTGTTTCAAACATTGCATTTACATGCGTAATGCATTTAAAACAAAAGATAATGAGATAAAATTCCTATTATCTTTTGTCTTAAATACATTCGGCACATGAAAATGCAATGTTTGAAACAGGCCTTAAAACGCATTGAAGGATTACTTGTTGTCTTTGTGAAAGTGACATCCTTAGGAGCCAATCACAATAATAATTTTCAAATTAAAGAAACGTTAACATGTTTAAATTCGTGTGTTTTACTTTAACAGAAAATTACTCACCTTAACGTTGTAGGAAGAAAGGTAAATTCTGTCTTTTTACTGACGAATACTGAAGTATGAGTTACATGGAATAATGAACTGGTCTTAGTGTAGGCCTCGTCATCTGAAAGCTTTCACTGTAAAATGCTTTCATCGCGAATATAAGCCTTTGATCATGTGAAAATGGTTGCATCGTTTAAACTCAACTGACTAAAGCTATTCGTGCAATGTAGGTGAATGTTCTACCATTAGGATAGTCCAGCAGAAAACATATTACAATTTGCTCATTCTCAATATATATGATTAAGAATTTAAAACGAAAACTAACGTCATATGCAGAGTTATTCATCATGAAATCTCATACATGTGTTTCATATTTTGTTATATTGTAGATCCCACAAGAATGGAGTTGTAAAAGTCCCTTTACCACCTGTGCCATTCACTTCAATTACTCTTACTAGTTTGTCATTACTCATGTGTCATGGTGATTCATGGCCAAGAATGTTCATTTGTAGTTTGGATTCTTTGTTGATGTCAGTTGTTTGTTCATATAATGATGATGGGCCCCATAGTTATATGAACCCGCCTAAAGGTGGTCAACTGGTACTCACAGAAGATCAACTCTGGACTAAGCATTCTTTGAGTAATGATATAACTAGATGTTGAAGGGCGGTCCCTTTCCTTCGCTTGAAGTTACCATAACAGTGCATTGTGAATTGTTGTCTATCGAAATGGCGATTCATCATATCAGTAGCTTCTTTATTGGTTGATGATGCTCCTTACTTCGTGTATGGAATGGTATCGACATGTTGAATGGACATCGCATAACGGCATATGTACGTATGAACATTTACATTGAAGTGATTGCACTATAAAAATGGACTACATTCTACGAAGATGGAAAACAAGCAAGTGGATAAACACGATCTATATCTTGTGGTTTGTAAGTTGAGTAGATATAAGTGTTAAAATTAACTTGTATGAGTAACTGCATGAGATAGTTAAAAAGGATCCTGATGGTCTATCTTTATAATTTGAAACTTAACCATGAAAAACACCCAACTTAAAAATAGTGTCAATAAAAGATGTCACTTGCTGTGAGAAAATAGCTGGCTTTCACTCGCTACTTTTTAGTAATTTAATTTAACGTTTATTAAGAAAATTGCAATGATGCAAGTAGGGTTCATTGAATTACTAAGATAAAAATTTTACAATTAATTTCAACAATACAACGTAAAAACTACGCGGTGAAAAAAAGGAAGAGACCGACCAAGTCGCCTGGATCAAACTGACCAGGACAACCCTTGGAAATCAGGTATTAAAGTTTTGTTCTTTTCAATATAATTAATTTCTGTTTTTGTTCCTTCATTATGCTGACATTTATAACGTGTTTTTTATAGAGTAGCTATGTCTGTAGGCCTTCTAACTGGACAATGAATGAACGACGAAGTCGGGCAGAAACACCAGGAAACAAGCGTCGTTATTATAAGATGCACACTTGCTAATTTATTTATCCATAATGTCTATCAGTATAACGTATTTTCAAATTTGACCGTTAAAAATTTCCGAATAACTAAATGTTCACAATTATTTAATTTTCTGACAAAACACACGAGTGAAAGCCTATTAATTAATGAGGCAACATAGAAAATTTCAATGGAATAAAGCCTAGCAGACATCAAAATTATTCTTATGCAAGTCATAACGTCTCTTTAGTCGTTTCATTTTTGTTATTGACAGGTGAATGGTCAGGTCCCTACGTACTCAATAATTTTTATACATGACTTATGGCTGCTTTTAGTTTTCGTTTTTCGTCTATTGATTACAATTTTTGTTAACACTCTGCGCTATTTCATTTTTTGTGCTCTACAAAGTTTGTGTTTCTTTTGTACGAACAAAAAATATTTGCTGTGTCAGTAGGGTAGTCAGCTCACATTTTTATTGCTTCGTAAATTTAAATTTTTTCTACGACTGTATAAGACGCACGATCTGACTACGCTGCATGTTAAAGTAGATCATCGGGATCATTGAAAACAACAAAAATATAAAACATCATAAAACACTACAAAAATTTGAAGCAATTCTTGTAAACTTTTTATTTTTTCTTTTATTGGAGGGTTTTTTTTTACCGGATCCGCCGGTTTTCCCTCCCATTTCGTTTTGGTTTGGAAAAAAACAGTGTCCACATTTGGGGCCAAGTGAAGGCATTTGTCATAACATTATTTCTCGTAGTTATCATGAATATTCACGTTTCTTTTCATTTCTTGGCTTTTGGGTACATCTCCCAAAACACTGCGTTTATTAAATACAATGGCATACATTTAAAAAAATTGGCACGCAATTCATACATGTTGGTAGCCTGCAATTATTTAGCTACTGAATGAAGTAGATTTAATCAACATAGTCAAAATAAAATTATATATTTAATATTATTTTACGTCAAACTTTTTCAAGATTTGAAAATGCCATTTAGTTTTATGATCAAGTAATTTTCTAACCCTGGAATCCAATGTTCTACACAGTAAAATAGATTGGTCAAAATGACCAAAAAATTGGTCATTTGAATGCACCTGAGAAGAATAATTTTTAGGTCAAAACAACCAATTCCTAAATTGGTCAAAATACCAAAACAAAAATGGTTAAATTTACCAATTTATTTGACCAATTTTATTTGGTTGTTTTTACCATTAAATAAGCATTTTTTTCAGGTGCATATCCATGACCATTTGAACAATATAGAGGATCTTTTTAACTAAGCTAAAGAAAATCAATCACACAATTATAAATAGAACATTTTTTGCAAACACAGAATACTTAAAATCTCTACTACATGCGATAAATTAACACTACAAAAGTTTTCTACTTCATAGAAGAAATAAAATGATCGACAAAAGTTGGCAATTGACACTTACAATTGCCATTCGAATTTAAAAGCAAATGTTCTAAAAGAATAAATACATTTTTGCAATGTCCATTAATGCCTTTAGGATACTCAGCATTAAAAGTATAAAAAGAACTAAGTAAAATAATTACTGCATTGACAATATTTTCTGTTTTCAGCTTTGCCACAATCATCCCCTCAGCCACCAACATTATTGAATGAATGTTTCTTAATGTTCCTGTTGATAGGAGTCTAGGAGACGAACTTTTGTGAATGATCTCTTGAACTTCCCCCAAGCTTTTGCCCTTCAACAGAGATAAAATTATTTATCAATTTTTTCACACATTTATGCAGAAAATATTATTTGTGATAATATCAACTCTTACATCAACAATGTCCCAAAATAGCTTTTTGTTCATATCTCGATGGGTGCATTGGTCATCTAACACATAAGGCAAACATGCCATTATACACTGGTTCTTGACCTCTAAAATAATCAACATAGCATAGAATGAATATATTACCATTATCACTCTCTAAAGCATTAACACTTCAGTATAAATAGGGATTTTAACTTATTGATTTTACACCAACCTTTCTCATCTTCAACTGGACAATCCTCCAGCTCTTCAAGGATACTGCTGACATTCTTTTGCTTTGTCTTTTAATAACAGACAGCATTTTATATTTGTGCAAATTCCATCGTTCCTTCATGTCTTACGAAGTTTTATTCCATCGTTCCTTCATAAACTTCTTGTGAAGTTTTATTCGAGGAATCGTCTGATAAATATCATGTGGCTCTAAATTGAAAAAATCCTCGCCGTCGACTTGATTAGCTTTAAAAATATAAGAAGCAAAACGTCAATGAAATTACGTTATTGCTGTTGGTATTCTCTAAAAGCGCTCGAGCAAATCTGCTAGCAAAACGTAAACAAGGCAAGTCATCTATAAATCTAATTTTGAATTATTTTCTACACTAGATTTATGCACGAGACAACAACCCTCACACATGCGACCTACATTTCAGGATGAGACAATACCTTTAAAATCTTCGACAATTTCATTCAATTTGTTGTTTTTCAAAAAAAGAATAATGTCAGCGACAGATGATTGTTTGTGATTTCCATTTTGCCCACAATACAAGAGTCTAAACGCTTAAATGCACTTCAACAAAGCACAAGAAGTTTAGAAACACGCCACGCGACTACATACATCGGCAAGTATATAGAAGTTATTGTTCCAGTTTATATTACAGTTCAATGGTGTCCCCACAGTACCCATGACTCCACGCGGCCAACTCAATAGAAATCCTCACTTCTTAACTTCTCCACTCGTTATTGTGTTCTTATTTCGTTGGAACTGGCAGAGTTGGCGAATATTTTATTTTATAGTCGAAATGACCGCGTTTTTACCGTCAAATCTTTTGGCATTATTTGCTGCTAGACCTCCCATACCATATCTTCCGCCTCTGGATAAACTAGGTCATCAGAAAAAGCCTTGGTCGTACAGTGGATCTGCGAGTATCGTTGCTGACTTCGAGGTATTAAATACGTCGATGATTTAATGTTGCAATACATTTTAACACTTCTGTGGGTGTTGTTGCGTTTTGAACACTAGAGGAATGGCTGATCACATTGTTGAATAGGAAATTATAAAAATGTAAATGCATTTCACTGCAATTTTAGAGCTGAAGTTTATATCCCTCTGGATTAAAAACAAAGATCAAATACACAGCTTTAATAGTACTCATTACATTTTTAATTTGTCATAAAAGCACAACGTTTTCTTTATAAAGTTTACTTTTCTCTGTAATATGTCTCTGCTAGTAATTAGACCTATTTGCATTTTATTTCAAGTGCTTAAAAAGTCTTGAAGATGCATAGTTTATCTTAAAAATACGTTTTCATTTTTGAGTTATTTAACAATATTATGACTTATGATTTTTGAGATAGGGCAAAAAGTTGTGTTGAGCTTTGCTTACATTTCAGAAAAATTTGAACTTTAATTAGTATTAATATATTCATGTCAGTATCAAAATGGTATGAAGGGGGTAAGATAAAAGGCTGGATCCACCACTGTTCTCATCGTACAACTTTTTAAAGAAGTTCAATAAACTTGTGAGAGGATCAGTTGTCAGAATAAACTTGTGAGAGGATCAGTTGTCAGAATAAACAGTTGTTATTTTATAGCATAATATATATATATCTAGTATACAATACGTAATGGTGGTGGCTGATGGTAAAATATTTAACTAGAGCTGCAGCTTACATGTTGTATTTTTTGAAAATAGAAATGTGAAAGAATTAAGAAAAAGAAAGCGGATTTGGAGAAAGCTGCAGAAGAATGTAAGTTGATCCTAAATTGTTATAAATGTTCTAAATTGTTTTATTTTATGTTGAAGGCTGTTGGTGAAGAGTAGTGATTAAATAAATCTTACGTGATGTTTACTTTGCACTAGAACTTAGCACCGAACCTTTAACATTGACAAAATGAAGTGCATTGTGAACATACCTGTATTTTTGTACCAATATAATTTAAAAAAAAGCCTAACTATATTGCCTTTAAGTCAACTAAAACAGGAATAAGCTGTATTAATACGAAAATTTGTCAGGCAAGCAACAAAATCATTTGCCACTGACTCTTAACACTCCACGAAAGATGGACACAGTCACTAGTGTTTTAGTGGTTTGTACTCCACTAAGAGGGGACAAAACTCAACATCATAAAAACTGTGAAATTTACGCACTGTATGATATTTCTTTTAATTATTTTAGGGGATCCTCACACTGATCCAAATGCTGTCACAGAGGCATTTAAAACTTTATTTGTCAGCAGACTGGTAAGCAATATTTTTTAGGAATAGGAGTTGAGCATTGCTTCGGGGCTGTTCATACGAGCCCAGCTAACTGGGATTCAGTGAGGCGTTAATTGATTTTGGCAAATGGAAACAATTCTATTCTTACATATCATTAGATAAATCTTCTAGAGCAACTTCACTATATTTTGATTTAATAAGTATGCAAAACATTTAAAATTGAAACAACCAGTTTGGCCGAATTTGAGAATTTCAACAGGAATGGCTTATGGCACTTAGCAAACAGCTGTAATCTTTACGCTTGAAGTTTTGCACCCTTTCAATGCCTCAAAATCAATTAACGCCTCGATGAATCCCGTGTAGCCAGGCTCATATGAACAGCCCCTTAATTAGATGAGTACATTGTTAATTGTTTCAATTATTCGTTATATGCATATCGTATGTAACCAGGTTTTTTTAGTTATTTACACCCACCATTACATGTATGTATAGTTAAGGTTATTATCGAGAGCTCACTATAACGGTCGGTCAACGGCAATGACCGCCCCAAAAAGCTTGTTGACCGGTTTGTTTACGTTACCGGTCATTTTGACCTACTTTATTTTTACGTCTTTCCAAGTACTCCAGTCGTGCGATGCATGGTAACAACTTTACAGCTTGAAACATCAACAGGAGAGTTTGTTTTCTCAAAAAATTATCTTTTCACCTTCTATGGTGCAAGTTGTGCCTAAAGTGAATGTTCGAACCAGGGAGTATTGTTACAAGGATCTTTATAGACTGTTGGTATTCCGATAAATTTGGCGGCATTCTTCTTCATAGCCAAACGTTGATTACTTCTAAAAGTTACTCCTTGCTTAACTCAGGAAATGACTCCTCACAGCTTGTCGGAATGTTAGCCTATTCAGACACCAACAATCGTTTTAAGGACTTCGCCAAGTTGAACTTTGTCCTTCTCGTCTACAAACATGTTTACATAATTGCGTAAAAGCACCTTCGTTAATACTTGTTTAATGTAAAAGACGAGTTTTTTCCAAATAGACATGTTTAGATATCCCATTCATTTGCGGCTGTGGACGTTTCTGTCGTTGTTTTGTGACCTGGTATGTTTATGAATGTATCTGAAAGGTTTTATCTTTTTTAGAATTACGATACATCTGAAAGGAAAATCCGGAGAGAGATTGAGGTTTATGGTCCTGTAAAATCGGTCAGTGTACTTAAAGTGCCTATATCGTGTTTTTGCATTTCTGCCATTTAAATAGTTCAGAGTACTTTAAAAATTTTTGTAATATATTTTATAGTTCGAAAATATGATTTTGCTGGATATTTTCGCACTCCAAGTTGAAAAATTGACCATTTTCATTGTTTGACCGCCAGAATAAAAAAACTGGCAACTAATGTTATTTTTGACGTCACATCGGGAATTCATCTGATGCGTTCTGTTTAAAATTGGATATATTTGAACATCCACGACACAAGATGTCATACACGTAGCAAATGCAACAATATAGCGATGCTTCTGAGGAAATTATGTGTAAAATACAGTGTTTTCTTAAAACGGGTTCCCGATATGACGTCAGATCTAGACATTCGCCCTAGTTTTTTTGATGTTAAGGTCAGGCAAATCATCACCGACTTTGAGCTCTAAAAAATGCACGAAGATCAAATTTTAGATATATAAAATATTGTCAACTTCTTTTTAGGACATGACGTTTTATAAGGAAGTATTTTTGGCTTATTGAAAGCAATAAGTTGTCTTCAAGGATAAGAACTTTGAGTGATTTTTATGATTGTCTGTATCTTCTCCGCATGTAGATTCAAATGGTGACCAATTCTACCACAGGAAAACCTCGTGGTTATTGTTTTGTCGAATTTGAACATGAAAGGGACATGCATAGTAAGTTCTACCATTACAAGTTCTACCATTTGTTTTGTAATTAACAATTTTAGTTCTTTAATGAGCGCAAAGTTTCGAAATCGTTTATTTTTCTAAATGACCGTGTTGTGGTAAGTTGTCTGTAATGGTAAGTCGTTGAACACAGCCTGGTTAGTACGATGTTGTTGTTGGAACAAAATCCTATTTTTTTATCACGTTTTTAATAATTTTCTCACTACAATGCCATCGATATCTACCACCATTTTTTTCCGGTGGTGTTTCCAACACTTTCAATTCCAATGCAATCAAAGTAATATGCTGCTATTATTAAATCATTGCAGTGCAAATACTGTCGATATTGCCAAGTGAATGGCAACAGACGATTGCTCGCTCCTATGCCATGGCTAACTCTACTTGATCATTTAAAATGTTTCATTTTAACTGGTGGGTATTTTGGTGGGTATAGGTTCGTATTACATTCGAATGCTTTTAAAACAAAGAAAATATTGTTTACTCTTAAAATATTGTAAAAAAGAAGAAAGAGTTAAATAAGTATATGGGTCGTGTAACTATAAAACATTTCCAAATCATGAACAAGTTCTATTTAAATAGTATTAAATATGCAATCTTATTTGAACTGTTTTCATTAAATCTACTTCATTTACTAGCCATGCACTTGATAGGCTACCCACATGTACGCATTTCGTACCTATTTTACCGTCCAGCCTACGTGATGCAAACCTCGACTGAAATAAATCATACAAAGCTGTTTCTCGATGTTTGCTACCAATATTTTTCGCTACAGTAAGCAAATATGGGGTAAGGTTGATTGGTCGGTTTATCTTCAAGTGTTGTCGATTTCTGGTCTCGGTGTATCCACCTGCCTACCTTATAAGCTATGTACTAGGCATTTTTTTGGTGTTTGTTTGAGTTAGTCCTTAGTTGTTTCGTACCATTGTAGCCGCTTATAAACATGCTGACGGTAAGAAGATTGACGGCAGGCGTATTGTAGTAGATGTGGAAAGAGGAAGAACAGTGAAGAACTGGAAACCTTGACGTTTAGGTAAATATGATGGTGATTTTTGAAAAAAATTTATTTATCAACGAGTGGAAGGAAACTGTCACAAAATGTAAAATAATTGGGGTATCAATCTAAGTTTTAGGAAATAATCAATCAATGTCAATCCTAAATTTTAGGAAGGATTTCAAGCCATAAGTAGGAACGTGTATTTTAGTATCCTAAATTTTTATCTGTTAGCCCTGGGCTCATATAAGTTCGTGAGTTCATTTTTATGGGCTAGAAAGGGAGTACTGCTGCTACACACTTGGTATATTTCAATTTCATATTTTTTGTGCTATAAGTTACGTCTTTTTGACTTTCTATCAAGGTGGAGGGCTAGGTGGCACACGAAATGGTGCTCCTGAAGCAAACATAAAGCATTCTGGCCGCGTAGAAAATTTTCACAGGTATGATGAATGTTCGTTAGCTGTAAATGATTTGCCATAATCGTAATTCAGTTACTTGTTTTAGTGCTATTTTTATTGTGGTTTGAAAATTATTGTTCAGCAAAAGATTAATCCCATAGTTAACCATGATGTAACGTGATGAAGTGATTTTTCCCCCGCATTAAGCCCGTTCACATCATCCGATTAGACGGATCACAAAAAACGGATCATGTGAGCACATACAAAGCGAGCTTTCGACAGTCGGATCCGTCAGTCTGAAAATTCGCCGATGTTACGGATGTTCTGTTTGTTTAAATTAATGTTCCAATTGTGTCGCAGAGAGTACTTAAAAATTTCTTTTGTTTATGCGGGGCGACAAATGTAATAACTGTCATTTAGATTTAAGATCTTAACTGTCGTTTAGACCTTAATTGCAAATTGCATCGATTTTTGAAGAATATTACCAAACTTTTACAATATACGAACAAGGTCGAGTTTCGTTCTGAGCCAATCATAGGTTAGTTTACGTTTTAAAAATTAGCCAATCAGAACTCGCAAAACGCGAAAATGTAAACAAAAGAATTGAGAAATTTGCACTTTGTTTGAAGCCTTTGGTGAGCTACGTTTTTGAGTAAATAAATATAAAAAGCAAAGATGCATATAAAGCAACACTTTTTCTTCAAATTCCTCTTGGACATTTTAAAATTGCGATCTAGAACGGAATTTATCGGCTGTTTAATAGCTACCATTTTACACTCGCGAAGTAGCATTGATTATGTGCTTGGTTTACAAGGGGTTCACCAGTCAGAGCGTATGTGGAACTTTTATTCTGGCGCAATTAGATTGCTCCAACTTTCCATTGCTCTATGGATTTTGCAGTCTTTACTTCAGGCTGGTTTTTAAAGTTACTGGTCGGTTAATGAAGTTTTCTAAAGGAAAGAATTTTTTTAACCGTTAAAATTTTCACGTGACGCTTTTCAATGTTTGTACTATGCAATTATTATAAAAACCACGTGTTTCATTTCATTAAAATTTTAAGTAGACAAGTATTGACATTTGCATTTCAACATGTGCAACTTGTACGGAACCTTAGGAAAACTAAAAACCAGCAGTCCCCAATATTTTAAATTCAAGTTATATTATTGTCAAATTTCCAGGTTTTGTCTGAGCAATCACAGTTTGTAGCATTTTTATTGGTGTTGAAAAACATTTGCACGAATGCTCGGGTTGGTATAAAGCGAAGTTCATTTTAATGACAATAAACATTTCATATGTCTCAAGACTTCACTTTTTACTCTGAAGCAATCATCTGGAATTGAAAGACCCTGCCTACTCATGCCTGCATGTTGGATGAGACAGCGCCTAAAATTGACCTGAAAATGGATTTTACTATTTTTTTAGGGATCGCGAGCGAGATGAACGTGATCGTGGTGGTGAATATCGTGACCGTTCAAGGCGTGATCGTGAACGAGACCGTGGCCGTGATAGAGATCGCGATAGACATGATCGTCGCCGAGAAAGGGATCGTGAGGTTCGGGATCGTGATGGTCGGGATCGCGAGGGTCGGGACCGTGAGTTTCGGGACCGTGAGGGTCGAGACCGTTGTTTTTGGACCACTAACATTGTTTCATTGTAACTCATTATTTTCGATATCAACAGACACATAAAGGCAAGCAAAAGATTAATTAAGCATAGACGAACAAACAACGAAGCATGCAACATACATATCAAAATAAGCCGAATAACAAATAGTGACTTTTAAACAACTTTCATGTTGATAAAATTTTTATTTCTTCAATTCATTTACCGTTTCATCAGGTTTGTTGCTGACGCTTTCGACAATTGCTTGTTTGATGTGCTTATAACATTTTAAATTTTCCTTTTAATAATTATACAGGATGTATCATTGAAACATTCTTTATACAATGATAATTTCTAAAAAATAGGCACTCGATGAGTACCTAAGGATTTGCTTTTTTATGATTGACAATTACAAAATACCAGTATGATTGATATATTCTGACATAAATGTGTGGGACTCGAAATGTTGAGTATCAAAACACAACACCATAACAAGGTTTTGCCAATACAACCACTACAACTTTGTTGTTTACATTTTCTATGTTATGTATCTGCATAATGTCAAAAACATCTCGCTATTGCCTGCGTTTCACTAGTCTATCGAACATTGGTGTCTACTATCAGATCTCTGAACAAACAAACGTTTAAATTAATAAAAATTTGGGAATGGTATATAAAAAAGTGGAAATATAAATTACACTATATCTTAGTAACGAGATGCCCCGATCCTTGTCGAAGACATTTCTCAATACTGCCTTTGTAAACGTTTTAACCTATGAATTAAAAAGCAAATAATGTTTCCTTACCATTATGTTATTTGCTTATACATTTTTAAAATCATCCCTGTTCCTCATCAGAAAATTTTAAATAATGACAAACATTAATGTCGAAATGTACGTTCAGGCGGTTAACGAATATTCGAGTTCTCGGAAAATACCGCCATTTTTTAAGTGCTTTTTATGTCATTGAGTTTACTATTTATCTTAGGCCTGTTTGAAACGTCGAATTTTACATGAGCCGAATGCATTTAAAACAAAAGATATCGAGGATTTTTTTCTCATTTTCTTTTGTTTTTAATGCATTTGGTTCATGTAAAATGCGACGTTTGAAACGGACCTTACCCTTACAACGACATAAAGAATTTTCTACTTAAGCCTGGTTCACATATGATTGAGACATGACTAAGACATTATTAAGGGCAAGCCTGAGATGCTTTCTGATCTTGTGGCTGAGGCAGGCCTGAGGTATGTCTGCGATACTTTTCAATGACATAATTCAAATCGCCGATAGACCACAAAAATTTAGCTGCAGTTTGAATTTGACAAAATAGTGCTTCGTAATTTTAAAATAGCGTTACTATTAGCAAGTTATGCGGCCTTTTAACAGTCATTTCAAAATACATCAAGGATGTGAGAGCCGGTTTGAAAAAAGAGAATCATTTGTATTTGACTTTTGGATTTTTTTACTCTGGACACGATTTATCATAAATAGCCCGATAGTTGCGTATTGTATCCATAACTTTTTATTTTTATCGTGAAGTGATTGGAATTTTTCTATTGAGTCTTTTTTGGTTCCATGTCTTGTGTTGAAAATTCATCCGCCATCTTTTTACCCAAATGCATGATGGGAAATAATGCCGCCAGTCAATCTGAGAAGCGTTCACATTTAACATAAATAACCAAAATAAGCTCCGTACACCGCTATTTAGCCGCCGACATGCCGGGAAACTTGAACACAACTCAACTCTTACGGCATATCGGCGGTATACTGCAGGTAACTCCTACGACTGCCTGAAACACCATTAGTGTGTCAGCGATGAGTGTTTACATTTGCCTTAAGAACAACGGAGGCATCGTCACAGGTATGCCTCGGTCATGTCTCAGTCATATGTGAACCAGGCTTTACGCAAGCAGCAAACCTTAAAAATTAAAGCGTTAGCTCATAAAAAACAAAAAGAAATGAGATGCAATTAGCAAGTCATTTTTGCTTGTGTACCATGTAGAATTAAGTACACGCCTAAGAACTGACCAATCAGAAAACACACGCTCCTCAGCTGGTTCACTAACACTCTTCGTTTTAAACCTTTTATTTTACAAGCTAAACAAGCTACACAAGTACATCACTGGATTATTCTTACGCTATCTATTAGAGTTCATTATTTACATGTTATTTATACTATAATTCGAGCTTTCCTTTACGTCATTGGCAGTACTCTTTCTTTTATTTGCGTTACAAGTTCTCACGCGTTGCAACAAAAAAGAACTAACTAAACAAACAAAGAACTTACAAAACGTACTTAAAATAAAGAAATGTCAAAGGGAAACTAACATAGTTACGACAATTTTATTGCTAAGCTCAAAAGAATGCAATATCCCACACACACCTCCTTGAACACTTATGGTTCAAGCATTGCTGAGGTTTTCCACAATATCCCCCACACACCTCTTTGAACACTTATGGTTCAAGCATTGCTGCGGTTTTCCACAATATCCCACACACACCTCCTTGAACACTTATGGTTCAAGCATTGCTGCGGTTTTCCACAATATCCCACACACACCTCCTTGAACACTTATGGTTCAAGCATTGCTGCGGTTTTCCACTCAGAGTCCAACGCTGTGGCTCGTGACGTTCTTTCTTCGCCAACCTGATTAGATTCACCTTTAAAAGTCTTATTTTTACGTGTCTCAACCTTATTCAAACAATCTTTACTTATTTCCAAGGGATACAGCTTTTGCAGTGGCCTGTTTAAAACCATTGATCATCCCTTCTCAACCATTAACAGCGGGTAAAACAGTGCTCTATGCTTTAATTTCTTCAAAATACTTCACAGTGTAGTTAAACATCTCGATCAATTTCAGCGTAGTGAGCGTACACTTGATGATCTTTTCAAATTTTTTGTAATCAAAATATCTTACAATATGTCTCAAAAGGACTGGTCCTCTTTGAAATCAGCCGATAGTTTGAAATTTGCATGATTCAGCGCCAATGATTGATCTCCACGCTAGGAGGTATAAATGTAATTAAAATAAGTTTCTCGACTGGGATTTTTATGCACTGTAGCTTCTATATTATACGTATGTAGTTATTAATTTATTGATAACTACATTGGCTCCTTGAGGATCAATTTTGCTGAATCATGGAAATTGTAAATGTCAGATAATTTCAAATATTGTCAAGGTTGAAAAATGAAACATCACCATGAAATATGTGATAGTCAGTCAACAAACCAGCAAAATCAAAGTGAAGCACCTTTCATGTTAATGGAAAAATGTTCAAAGGTGAAAGAATGCGACTTTACCAAAATTTTTCAACGTGCTTGCATTTCACTCATTTTCCTTCCAAATCGCAACAAACAACATAGCATTCCATAGCTAGAACCTAGAACTCTTTTTTTAAATATTTAAAACTGCATTTATTTATTCAGTAATTTACACACATCAGCAAATAATAGTTGGATTACCTTTTTTTGAAACACCCTGCATCAAGAACTTAGATCCTCAGACCGTGGGGGTTCCCCTTTGGATAAATGAACTTAAATGTATATTTTATTAAATACGTGTATAATTTACGGAAAATAAAAAAATAAGAATCAAAGGAAGATATCAGAATTCAGCCTTTAATAACACCACGACAACTCGTCGTGTATAGCAAGTCTAACCGGTGCTTTGAAAATAAATATTTTGTTGTTCAATAACTTTTTCGTTACTCACTACACTACATATGACATGACAACAGTAAATATGGGCCAGACACACATAATTAGAGTAAAAGCCCCATTTTTCTTGGCTACATCACTACCTAAAACATACATAAAGATAAATTACATTGTCAGGTGGTCACCAATTGCAGATAATTCAAAACGCTTGTCAGCAAAGAATTTTGATTGTGTTTAGTCTTTACAGAAAGGAATGGATTTGTGGCTCCATTTCAAGGAACAAGATGCTTTGTTAGCCCTGACTTTTGGTTATGTTTTCTTTCTCCTTTAGCTGACCAGCAACAGTTGTATTTTCAATTTCTGTAGGGAAAGGTTGAAATGAAATGTTTGTTTTGTTCTTTTTGTTGTTTAATAAGAAAAATCTTAACATGTACATTATTTACATGTAAAATTTATAGTGTTTAGTAAATTTTCTAAAAAGCCCAAACACTGGCTTTGCTGTGTAAATGAACAAATTTCTGTTCACTGTGATAAATAGTAATATATAATTTGTATTTAAAAGAATTGTGTGTGGAGAGAAGGTCAGTTGTTTGGTTACTTGATTCAACATTTCTTTCTATTTAAGGTTGGGGATTTACACCTTAATTGTTGTGACAATGTTCTTTTTTCGCTTACATTTAAATGTAGTAAATCTCATGTTTAATTTATATTTGATTGTCTTTGGATCAGAGATAACCACAACATTTTGTATTGTGATTTTGTGGTAAAATCATTTATGTAGCTGGGAGAATCAGTTTCAAAGCAATGTAAAGTATAAACTAAAGCAAAAGCAAGACATGAATGTCATAGCAATGAAAATGACTCATTACTGTCTATATCAGTAGTAAAGACACCAGTAGAAATGACTCATTTAATGTTCTTATCAGTTGCAAAGACATTAGCCAAAAATGTCTGGTCATGTCATTCACTCCTGAACATGGATACATACTTTAAAGGAGGGTGTTGCCCTAGAAATATATTCCTAATATAAACTTTTTATAGTTTGTACACAATTTCTCTAATTTTCAAATACTGTTTTGGAAAAAATTAAGAAGTTCCTTGCAAAATGAAATACTAACTGTTACACACAATGCCAGAGCTCTTCAAGATTCCCTTGGAATAAATGGCATAGCAGACTCTTTATCTTGGGTAGGAAGCACATAATCATATATTCATGTTCTGCCACATTAAGTTCCTGTGAAATCCATTGTTTTCAACAGATTAAGACATGCATATATGAATTTGTGCCCCCAAACTAACAAGTGTCCTGCGCCACTGCTGGGATTTTTTATATATTAGTAAATCTGGTAGTTAGACAGTTAAATGTGTCATTTTCACTTCTATCAATGCTATGGCAATGATATCCTGCTTTTTCTTCTTCAGGTTATTTTTAACTTTTACTTTACATTGCCTTTATAGTTTGAACTATAATAAAGTATTATTAAATCAATCATTAAATAAATATTTCCTCCCATGTAAAGAAAACAAACATTGTCACAACAATTAAGGTGTTAGTCCCCAAATCAAGTATGATTGAATCAAATAACAATAACTGTATGTCCATTTCAAACAACTACAATTCTCATAAATAGAAAGTATATTTTGTAAATTATATGAATGAATAGAAGTAAATATAGAAAAGACTGTATTCATACTTATATAGCAAAGCAAATCTTGTGGGCTTTTCCGCATTTCAAAAAGGGATGTTACATGATCATGGTTGCTGTAAGATCAGTATTTACTCTCATTATACAAGAAAATGACCCAACAACATTCATTTTAAGGAACTTCACAACTTCTGAATAGCTAGATATTGCAAACTAAACTCATAAATATACTTTGATAGTTCCATACAAATTTCTTAATAAAAACTGTTCCAGTAAATAAATGGCAGTTAAAAACTTGAAAATACAAATGTTTGAATATTGTCAATAATATATTTATACCTTCTATAAATATACAACTGTTGTTATTTGAACCATTGTTAAAAAAAATCTACAATACAACTGTTTCTAATCTCCTTTAGTATAAAGAAGACATGCCTAAAATGAAAAGAGAAATTGATTTTCATCTTCATTAAAAATGAGCTACAAATTCCTTTCCTCTTCTTCTAT